CACGTAGCAGAATGTACGGACAAGCAGAAATGTTGCACGCATAAAGTACCGCCGACAATTGGAAAAGTTGATGACGGCAAACGGGAGGACGATGGTTCGGTGGTGCACACTAGCTATAGTTGGTTGGAACAGGAGCGTCGAAAACACAGGCACTAGGACGGCGGACAACGGCGCAATGCGGACGTAAGCTGCAGCAAACACTTTCGAGGGACTGTGGTGGTCGATATCAAGGCACGGATTCGTCAACGTGAGTTCAGCACGAGCGCAGTCGACGAGAGCCTGATTTGTAGAAAGGAAATCGCATCCTAGTATGACGTCGTAAGATGAACGTGGGAGAACAACAAAGTTGACGGCGTGCCAAACATCTTGAATAAGAACGCGTGCTGTGCACTGAGCCGTCGGGGCGATGAAATGGGAGGTGGCTGTACGCAGAGCAAGATTCGTAAGCGGCGTTGTAACTTTTCTCAAATCGCGACACAGTTTTTCACTAATTACAGATACGACGGCGCCTGTGTTGACAAGTGCACGTACAGCAACACCTTCTACTAGCACAACAATTTCGTTGGGCGGACAAAGAGGAGGTCTTGAAGAGTTCGACGACGACGCAGTTCTTGCTCCCGGAACTGCGGCTGTCAGTTTTCCTCTAGAGCGGGGCTCGTGCGCCGAATCATCGAGGAGACAGATCGGCGACGGGGTGGTAATGATTGGCGAGAATCGACAGGGCGTCGTGGGGACAATGAGTCGGCGATAGGGGAAGATGGTCGCTGGGGATTCTGGGCAGCCTGGTAATTTGCAGAATTCCCATGGTCTGGAGGCTGGAAGTTGCGATGGTGACAGTAGCGTGCTATATGTCCCACGAAACCACATGCAAAACAGATGGGTCAATTATCCAAGGTGCGCCATGGGTTAACGACAGAAGGCGCAGGGGGCGAAACAGGATGGGGTGCCGTGTATGTAGGCAGCGTCATAGGGTAGGAGGACCCGGTGCCCCGGTATGCGCCAGAGACAGGTGGGGCTGGGGGTCTAGCAACGACGGCAGCATAGGTCAGCGGCGTAGGGACAGATGGCGATGGAGGCAGTGCCTGCGTGACCTGTGTCTCAATGACCTGGCGTAGACGTGGGTCTAACGAGGTCATTGGCTCGGATGCTTCGGCCACAAGAGAAAGCTGACGCGCAACTTCTTCACGAATGAATTGGTTGATGTAGGGTAGTAAGACGGTGTGATCAGCAGCGACGTCATCCGTAAACTTCATCCGTATCTTCAGCAGCCCTGCGCGTCGAGACACGCTGCTTACGCAACTCGTCGTACTCCTGACAGAGCTGGACAACATCGGTGACGATCTGTCGATTCCTAGCGACGAGCATCTGGAAGGTATTGTCGTCAACTCCTTTGATGATGTGCTTGATTTTGTCGCGTTTGGTTAGAGATTTATCGGCGCGCTTGCAAAGAGACAAGACATCTTCAATGTAACTTGTAAAGGTCTCGTCCCTGCGCTGGACTCAACTACGGAGACGCTGTTCCGCGCGAAGCCGGCGCACGGCGGGATGACCAAAGACCGCAGCGATGGTGGTCTTGAAGGTGGACCGGTTGGTGATTTCACCTTCGTGGTTCTTGAACCAGAGGCTGGCCACATCAGCGAGGTAAAAGCGCACGTTTGTGAGCTGGTCGCAGGCGTTCCACTTCTTGGAAGCGCTTACGATTTCGTACTCGACGAGCCAGTCCTCGACGTCTTGTTCGTCGTTGCCGCGAAAAATTGGTGGGTCGCGTTACCGAGGCACGCCAGTACGGTAGACTGTCGTTGGTAAGGCAGCTTGAGAAGGGCCAGGAGCAGTCATGGTGAACGGTGAGGATAGCGTCCGATTGCGATGTTCTACGTTGATGGGAACCCCGGCTCCTCCACCACTTAAAATAGAGGTGTTGTACGTCGAGAAAGGTTCAGACGCAGCTTGGCAAAATGTGCTTTATCGGACAGGTGTGGCTAACGGCGAGCGGCGTGCGCGAGCTACTACAACAGCCATCGATCACCATCGTCTTCTTCATTACCAGCAGAGCGTCCGCTATTCAGATTCATTACAATATATATATATATATATATATATATATATATATATATATATATATATATATATATATTGTGAAGAAGAAGGTGTGCCTGCGGCGAGCAGCATCGCCAACGAGCCGCCTCTATCTAGCCGTGTCCACTGCCCGCGTGTCGCACAGCCAGTAGGTGCCCCTGACGCCTATCCACCAGCGATTCAGCCTGTTGCCGCGCCCCTAACGTATGCAGCGCAGCCTGTGGCTCCTCCTGTCGCCTGTTCGCAAGAGATGCAGCCCGTAGCCGCCCCGCTCACATATGCAGACGCTGTGCGTAGGCTTCCGCAACCACCCTACACCATGCGCTCACAGCGCGCACACCCGGCTGCTTATACTACACCTTGGGCAGCACCACCAGTCGCCGATCCATGGAAGACGCCCGATAACCGACCGATTTGCTACGCCTGCTCCACTCCTGGACACGTTGCCCGCTACTGCCGCCGTCGACCTCAGACGTTCGGCAACTATGCCCGGTCGTCGCAACCCGGCAGCGGTGCGGATGGTACCGACATGGAAGACTGGCTTGAGCACTACGAGCTGGTGAGCGCCAATAACAAGTGGGATGAAGCCGACAAGCTCGGCCATGTCATATTTTATCTCACCGGCGTCGCAGAATTGTGGTTTAACAACCACAAACACAACATCTCCACATAAAGCGTCTTCAAGACGTCATGTGCTGAAGTGTTTGGTCGGCCGGCTGTCCGCAAGCAGCGGGCAGAACAGTGCTTGCGCGTCTGCTCTCAGCAGACTGGCGAAAATTTCACCAGCTATATTGAGGATGTCGTCGACCTTTTTCGACGCGCGAATGACACCATGCCCGAGTCGGACAAAGTCAAACACATCCTGAAGGGCATCGACGATGGCGCATTTCAAATGCTCTTGGCTAGAAATCCGAGCACAGTTCTGAAGTCGTCAGCTTATGTCAGAGCTACGACGAGTTGAAGAAGCAACGCTCTCTGACTCGCCAACCTCAGTGTGGTGGTGAGTCGCTGTCCAGTTTCGACACCATGCCTGACAATTCACCATTGCTTCAGCAAGTCCGAGCCTTCGTCCGTGAGGAAGTCGCCCGCCAACTTTCTCTAGTGCCTTTTGCTCACGAGACCACCACCCGTCTACCCAGCGCCACCACAAAAATGTGACGAGGTTTATTAGTCGATAACGACAACGGCAAAACAGCGTGAAGAACCGTCCAGCAGAGATCAGCACAGCAGCGAGCCGAAGTACGAGCCGGGCGTTGGCGATGCTGCTCGCCACAGGCACATCTTCTTCTTCACAATATATATATATATATATATATATATATATATATATATATATATATATATATATATATATATATATACATACACACAAACACACATAAACACTCAAAATAAAAAGAAAAGCCCCAGCTCGTCGCCGTGCGCCGACGCGTGCTTATCTTTCATGCGTACTTTGCCCCACGGTTAGGGGGGGAGGGAAATTTAGATGCTTGTGTGCGTGCACTTATCCCTTGGTGGGGAGAATCGTGTGCCTTCGGCTTTTACCGGAACGATTGCGTTAGTTGCCGGGCTCACAAAGGTCACTTCGGTCTCTGCACAGCGAAAAGAGCACGCTTTTCATACGCAGCTAGGTGTAACAACTGGGCACCTCTTAGTTTGAATTCATCAGTACCTGTGATTACGTATTGTGCATCGCTTTTGTTTAAACAGCGCGTTGCGTGTCGAGTGGTAAACATTGTTAGTTTGCTCTTGTCCTTTGAGTACCATTTTCGTGCATCATCTGTGCGAGAGCAGCGTGCTGCACGTTACGATCTGCTTGCAGTTCTCAGCGTGGCACTCCAAGCTGTTGCTGTCGCATTCATTGCTTTGCCGTTTTGGCAAAACTGTGACTTTTCTTTTTAACGTATTTATGGCCTTTAATCTACCGCTGCGCGCCCTCGGAGCTCGTAAATCGCTATCGCGTCGCCGCAACCGCGGTTTTGTGCGCGGTGGTTGCGGCAAACGGTAGTTCCTTTTACAATCCTCGTGCGCTGGTATGTGCAGGCGCCAAATTTGAGTCATTTTATGCGATCCAAGATTGCATCTGCAGCAGTTCTGTCCGCAGAGTTTGTGGAAAGCAGCGTTGATTTGACTGGTTGAGCGCACACTTTCGGGGTTCTGTCAGTTACGTCATCGCCATACATGATCCTGTCAGCAGTGACCGCAGTTTCGTCCACAGCAGTTGTGGCAACAATAATCACACGCGCAGTAGAAGACAGTGCATGCGCCAGTTGCACGTGTACTTCCAAAGCTTCGAGTACATTGCTCTCAGCCTTCGTTCAACGGTTCCCGCACTAAAGTTCGTATCACACACCATGATTAGGAAATGTGTTCGGAGCATTCGAATTCAGGCCCAATGGACACAGTAGAATTTGGCCTGAGATTTTCACAAATTCCTATCTGCCGCGGTTTTGGATTGCTGATATTCTAAAGTACGTTTATACGAACTCTCTTAAACTCGTAATAAAATGAGGTAGGTTCAAAAAGCCTTGAGCAGACTGAGCTGCTTTTTTGCCAATGCGGCCAGATCCCGCACAGAAATTTCGATTTCCAAGACATTTTCATGACAACCGTACAAACAGAAGAAACAGTCGAAATTCGGAAGTCTTGACAGGTATGTAATTGTCAAAAGAATTGTCCTTAGACAAAAATTGTTAAAGGACAATTCTTGTCAAATGTGTCCTTTGCAAGGGTCTCTTACAAACTTGTTTACATTTTCCTAATTTTTCTTTTAATGTAGGCACGCTAGTGTCTACTGGCATCTCTTATACCAAATAGTCTTTTACATCAATGTCTCTTATAAAGAGGATCAACTTCATCAGCATGAGCAAGAAACTAGCATCCTGTTCTGAGCGATGAGAGTTGAACCAGAGGACAGCTCATACCTGAATGGGTGTAAGGTGCTGGAACTGACGATGTGGATGGGGTATTATCAGCGGTTCTCGCCAAGCAGGACCTCGATATACACGCAGCTCATTTTTCTGGTCTGTGGTAAGCAGCGAGGTGCGGTCAGATGGGCTCACAAAGGCTACGATGAAAATAAAACATGCAATGAGCAACCATGCAGGATGCAGTCATTAGCTCAGTGTGCTCAGTGCATTGGCAATTGCTGATAATTGATATATTGGGGTTTAACGTCCCAAAACACCATATGATCATGAGATACGTCGTGGTGGAGGACTCCGGAAATTTCGATCACCTGGGTTCTTTAACGTGCACCCAAATCTGAGCACACGGGCCTCTTTCTATACTTCTTCAAGATCTACCCAGTGATGCGGGACAAAGAGGTACCGTACTTACTCGTGTAATCCTCGCACTCGCATAATTCTCGCACCCCCCCCCTCCCCCATCGCCCAAGAAAAATACGATTTCTTTTTTTCCTCGAGTAATTATCGCACCACCGAAACTGCTTCAATAATGTCGTCTGCTCGTTCTAGCCACTGATGATGATAGCGCATGCCATCTGGCGCCATCTCGTAAGCATAAAGCGTACTATTGCACGCAGATTCAATCCAATCCAAGCCGAAGTGGCCAGTGCGCGTTGCGGCGTGTTTTGTATGCTGTGTTGGTAATCTTGTCACGTTATAGGGCGATACTGAAGCTACAGGGGTGCTTTTAAGTTGAAAGTGATTGATCATGCACTAAACAACGGCAACAGGGCCGCCGGCAGGCCTTTCGGAGCATACGAGTTTTGTGTTCGCTACTAATGACGGCAGCTCAAAGCCACCAGGACACGTTGGGCCTACCGTGGGCCTAAAACTGGGATTGATGGTAAACTTTATTTCTTCAGAAGGAAACTGCATACGATTCTGTTAAATAGCCATCAGCGCAATACTAACGTCCTACGCTTACCTTTTGAGGTCTCTTGTTGAGCGACGAACGCTACCATTATGCCCGCAACGCCCACAAGCTTTGCGTATGGTATTCTAATTCTTGACTATTTGCTTGCACTTTTTGTGTCTCAAATAGATCTTGCCTTCTGTTGAACTTCTGCTTTTATTGTTGAGGTAAGTTCTAATTAGTACTTCTTAAAGCTTGCTGTAAGTTGCTGGTGTGAGAATCCTGATTTGCGGCCACTTCGTTTTCTTTTTCGCTCTGTACGTATTCGTAGAAAGTTTTCCCCGTGTAATTCTCGCACCCTCCAACTTTGCATCAGTTTTCTGTCAAAAAAAGTGCGAGGATTATGCGAGTAAATACGGTAATTTTTAGTCATACACAGGAATCTGAGCACTTTGAATATTAAGACAAACATGAAAGTATCCAAATTCACTTTGGTACTAAATGCAATCACTGTAAGTTTTGTAGTATTCAAAACAAACACCGTATAAGTTGCATGTAGCCCCCTGTAAATGTGGCTTGACTGCAACGTAGAAATGTCATGCCGTGAAAACACTAAACACTCCCCCCCCCCCCCCCCACCCCCCCAACAAAAAAATCTGCACTGCAACGAAGCACCCCTTAACGGTTAAATTAACATATCACCCTCGCCTCGATTAATCATTTTTTAAAGTTAAAAAAAGACTTTCATGTTGCTATCTCATATATGCCGAGAAATCTTCTCCCTCTTTTTACCCCCCTGTTTCGTGCTATTTCACTTCGAAGCATTTGAAAAATATTCGATTCGATTCACACTTAAAAACTTCTACATACGAATTCACACCAGGATTTTGCTATTTGCTTAGCTATACCTTTATTTCAGTTGTTCTTTTTAATTAAATGAAAGACCAAGCCCCACAAGAGCCCCGAAAATGTGCTCACAGAGTGAGATGATGTGAAAAATTAATTACGTCCTTAAAAGCTAGTTGCTACAGTTCCTTGATGCCAAGACACAATATGGGCTTGTTATCACGTGAACACGCAAGATATTGTGACATTTCCACAGCTGCTCTATCGTTTGTCCAGTGCTGCATATGTGGAAACAGTGCACAGTCGACCCATACTTGTTTCAGCCCAGGATCATGCGAAAACCTTGCGTCTCCCCACCAACCTATACCTGCTGTCCCCTGTTCGATTAGTGCAAGATTTCACAATGTGTAAGATGACAAATCAAAATAAAACGATCCCATTGCCTCGTGATCAACTTGGACTATGTATTCGCGGGTACACGGGACACTAGAGGGCAATTTCACTTTAACTGGTGCCTTGAACTATCGTGAGTGCATGGCATAAGCAGACGATTGAGAAAGTCATGCAAAAACAGTCATCTTGCATGTTTGGTGCGCGACGTCATCCCAACTAGCCATATCAGTGCGTGAAGTCACTGGGATTGACACTGTAACTTAACATCATGACAGTAGTGTCGATGTTAGTAGGTAGAGCATGTGAAGTTTACTTCAATGTCAAAATACGTCACGATTTCCCGAGCTTCACATTTACAGGTGATTTGTACAAAAAAGTGAACACAGCTTTGGAAATTAGTGCCAGTACGCCTTTAAAAAGTGTTGCTACGATCCCATTAGGTGATCACAGCTCATGAAGATTTGTGACTGTCATGTCAGGTTTCATTTTATTTTCTTTTTTTCACATGCCATGTGGAAGAAAGGACATTGGCTTTGAGCAGCAGCACTCAGCACCTAAAGAAGCTGTTACCATTCAAGCAATAGCAGCAATAGTATTGATACTAAAAATGTTGTACAGCCACAATGTTTGTTGTGTTTCATGGCACATAAGCAACCAGGTCTATCATGCACCAAACACAGCACTGCCACAATGAAACGCTGCTTCACATACCTACATATTAAAGTGACCTAGCAGTCAATGTAAAGATACACGAGGCTAGTGATCACCTAGCCAAGCGCAGTTAAACATACCGGAGTTCACTCCCTGAGTGTGTGGCAGTTCTATGAGGAAGTCCTTGACCCCACCCAGCTTGCGCACATCCCAAATGCGAACTGTGTGGTCCACAGATGCTGTTATCAATAGATCTGAGCCCTGTCCCACGAACTCCATATATTTAACCTTGCCCTTATGGAAACGAACAGGTTCTGGCCACATCTGCAAAATGTAAATAAATAATCCCGTTTCATACAGGAAACATGAACGGGCATTCACTACTAAAAAAGAGCTATCTGCAACAGTTTGAAGACCACACCACAATGAGCAAATAAGCAATACTGGATGCGTTATTCGAAGGTCACAGGTTCAGTCCTCACCGGCGACCTATGAATAGCACATTCGATGCTTTATTGCTGGTGGCAAGTTATCTTTTCATAGACTTTTCTTCACATTTAAATTACAATTTCTACTAATAACATCCCGTATACTTTCCTTGGTATCATTGTCTGCTAGTTCTAACAATATTGTGTCTAGCACTTTCTCTCTTCAATAATAGGTAAAGAAAGTCATATTCTGTGCCAATGTTGACATGCTCAATCATATCCTGCATGTTAACAAACATTGGCACTGAAAAAAATTTCACAAGGGCTCCTCGGGGTTAAAAGGAAAGTAAGGATGAAATAAAGAAGTCTGTACAGTCTAAAAATCATTAGAACAAGCAGGCTCCATTGAAATGCAAAGAGATCAAGCAATCTTCAAGGCCACAGTGTCCTTTGCTCTACCTACTTACCAACTCGCCAGTAGTGTTGAATGCATAAACGCAGCCCATGTTGTCTCCAGCTAATAACATTTTCCTCTCATGCAAAATGTCCAAGGATGTAAACCACACCCTGCAAAGACAGAAAAACTGGTATATAAAAGCGTTCTTTAGGCACAACCGGCAAAATTGTCAAAGGATAAATGTGTAGCTGACATTAGTATGCACATCCTACTTATCACTCTCAGCTACTGCCTGTAGATATTATGCGACAAAATTAAGTTTGAATCGTTTTTCATTAATGCTGAGCTGCCTGTCAATAATAGTGTTCTAGTCCCAACAAAAATTAGTCTTTCTTTCTTTTTTCCAACATATTTATGTCAAGCATTGCTCTCCACTTGGCAGACTTCCCAAAAATGCCGGAAACACTTTGTACAGTAATTAAAACCTTGGCTATCATTTCCTTTATTCAGTTAGCCCACTCACTTGTGCTTTCATTAGGCAAAAACTAAAGTCATGTTGTCAGCACACGTCCCCACCCAAGAGACAGAAAAATGTCTGTATATTTACTTTTTTTCTTTCCATTTTAATTCTCAATATTTTTTCTCTCTCTCTCTTCCTTCCTTTCAGTCCCCAATCCCCTTCTCCACACAGAGTAGCAAGTCAGCGACACACACACACGCCGGCAAAATTCTCTGCTTTTCAATAAAGAGCTCTCTATCTCTCATTAGGCAGATTATCAGCACAACGCACCAGTAGCTCAGGCCTGTTTACATTATTTACAAAAAGATCGCTTCTTTCCTTTTTCTTTTTATTGGTACACATCAATCAGAGACATCATGTACTCTGTATTGAATGATTTACAGATATATGCAAGCAGATATATGCGAACTTGACTTTTACCCCCGAATGCAGAGATGTTACCTGACTCGTACTTCACTCAAGACAGTCTTGCCCGTCACCATAAATCGTTCTCGAACTTGCGGACGACTTGAAAGCGACTTGGCTCGGTCGAAGTCAGGACAAGTTTCAAGTCAGCTGCGGGGCTAGCTTGAAAGTGACTTCATGCGTTATTCCAACATGGGCACCTCTCGAATGAACGTCGCGCGGAGGGTGGCCACTTTTGAGTTTGCTTGCCTCGCCATAAGCGTAGCATTTTCTGAGGCGCACTGCCTGCCGAAGATTCTTGAACCCGCTTTACGTGACCGAGGAAATCCGATGGCCTTGTAAGACGAGCAACAATTCCATGCTCGGTACAGATTCGCGAAAAATGCCGTGCAGCAGCTGCTGGTTATGTTCCCGATCCGTGAAAGTGGGGACAACCGAAGACAGCCAGTGCCTCCAGTGTTGCAACTACTGATGGCTCTTAGGTTTTACGGCGCTGGCACATTCTAGTCACTGGGAATCTTGTCCGCATTCTGTAGCCGACAGTGTGCCGTGCGGTCGGAAAAGTTAGCTACTCATCGCAAAGCACCTGCACGCGATGCTGGTGGGCTTTCCACAGTCGCCCCACTTTTTCTCTTGTTTACCAAGCTCAACAAAAGGATACAAATCACTTTTGTTCCCAGAACTTGTTTTTCTTTATATATAACTGCAACCTAGCCCGCTACAAGCAGGTCCACAGGCGAACAGAAAGGCGAATACAGTGAAAATCGCGTTACCTTGTGAGCCCGGTCAGCACAAATACACGCCGTGGCGTTCGATCGAAAAAAGAAATAATGACGAAAGAACCCAATGCGATGCTTGTTTCGCCTTCAAACAAGCAAGCATGAATAAACGTGCCGCATTTGGGTGGCCACTAAAAACAGCGAGCAACGAACGCTTTACAGAAGCAACACTGCGCATCACTGTGGCGGCAGGCACCACGTGCAGCTCGTTAGCCATAAAATGGGAAAAATATGTTTGTGGCGCTTCGTATTTATAGTTATTTTAAAACGTATGGTCTTTTTTTGCTGTAACATGTGCCTTACGCGAACAACTTTATTATTAACCTCGTTAGCACGCGAGCAGCGTGTTTCTGCTTTGAAGCTCATTCTTGACTTGACCAAGCAAGACAGCCTGAGCATATGTGAAAAGCGAAGGCTGACTTGGGCGTTTTGAAGTTCGCTGCTTGCTTCACGCCGACTTGCTCAAGTCAAGTCGAAGGCGCGAGCCAAGTAACATCTCTGCATTCTGGGGTTAGGCCTGAAACAGAGCTTCCTTGATAAGACAAGTACGCAAGCTTCTGTTTAGAAGTTTCTATGCCACACAGCCGTTTGACAATTTGCTGAAAATATTGACCCTTTGCAATCAGGCCCCCTGCTTGGATGTTTACAATGCACAAACCTTTTCTAACAACCGTAGCTATGCTGCTAAACAATGTTCAAAACACTAAGTGTGAGTGCACGCGTAAGAGGGCAAGTCTCTTACCTCTCGGACTCCGTGTCCCAGAACACCTGAGGGTCGCCTCCTTCGAAGTTCTGCAGCATTACTTTGCTGAGCAGCGTGGCAGTGTACACCTGTGTTGCCGTATCAGGATGAAACTTGATAGCTGCCACAGCTGAGCCACTACCAGTCTGCATAGAAAGAAGAAACATGAAGGAGAGACAATCGATATCTTTAGCACCACAACAGGCCCTAGCTCTCATAAAGCCCTTTCTGGTGCCCATGCGAAACTCGGTAAAAACTGTGCGATGCAAGCCTGCTAAAACAGCCCTGCAGCAGCAACATATACATTAAAAGAGCACTGAAACAAACTTTTGTACCTTTTTTTTCCCCCAATAGGTGGGTTATTATTCATTTATCCCGGCTAGAAACCCCATTTACATGAGCTTGCTATGGTTATTTACTGAGACATTTTTAGAGTGCTTGGTGGCAGTTTCGGTTTCAAAGAGCACCAAGTTAGACAGGAGCAGTTCTGCTGTCAAGGTAATACAGCTGGCTACGTGACCATGGAAAATTGTGACGTACACGCCGCGTGTGAGAGCGAGCGTTGCAGCGAAAAAGAGCACAGCAAGCACACACAAAGCTGCATGCACAGAGGAAGAAATCACAGGTAGCACAAGCACAAGGCACGCGCAAGCAACCAGCCAACACAACTCGTGATGCAAGTTTGTTCATGTTGACACTGCATTGATGAAAGCGTCGCGAGGGGCTCTGCATCTCGCTCATTCGCATGGCATGCCCTTTAAAATTGATTTTAAATATCTTCAAGGCAATATTTACCATTGGTGTTTCATAGATCTTGTGCATGTCTCCTCTCCACATAAATCTATCTCATTCATTATCTTGCTTTCGAAATTTTTTGTCGGTGCTCCTTCAATTATGACCTTGGCTGCTGAACATACTGGAGGTTTATCAACTACAGTTATGGCTGACCGTTATTCCACGCCACTACCTAAGTATCCTGATACACTGATGGTAATGAGTTGTCTTGCAAATCAAGACAGATGCTTAGAGCCCTTTGATGTTGCCAATTAAAGCTCAAAAAATTAACTCGAGCTTTTGAGTGCATTTTGACTCATTATCAGCTCATCTAACAATGTCAGACTTCAGAGACACATTCAAAGTTCACGAATTAAAGTGCTCCCAAGAAAAAAGATCAATAAGCCACGAAACATACATGTTCAGGAATGAAGTACGAAGATAAGTGTTGCAATATATATATATATATATATATATATATATATATATATATATATATATATATATATATATATATTCATTTCACTAAATATAAGGCAGGGGCATTGAAAACATTGATGCTGTCCATATTCGTTCATCCTAACATGCAAGATGAAATTAGAATTAAGATGAACAAGCAAGATGTCTACCGGCGGTGTGTGAGCGGTCTTCTTGGTGTCCCAGGCATTCCACAGTACAATCTCGCCGTTCTTGGATCCCACAGCAAGGAGGTTCGGACGAGTTGGGTGCCACTGAATACATGTCACTCGCGCCGATTCGTTGAACTCTGGCATGGGCAGAGTGGGGAGTGTGAAGCCAAGCACTTCCCGAGCCAGCAGCTGCCTCTTCAACTGAACAAGCACAGTTATAGACGAATCAAAGTAGTTGATACCATTGAGGTCAGATCGTATACAGCTTAAAATGGGGCCATTTCTTGCCACTTACATTTGTTGTGTTGTGTAGTACATCTTACAAACAAAAACAAAAAAGGGCAGGAAACCAACAAAGACTAAGAGCTACAAAGAAGACACACGCACATTCCACCTTCTAGACGAGTCTAATAATGAATATTTAAGTGAACATGGCTAAAATACCTGCCCTGCTATAATCAAGTAGCATTTAAATGTAAACAGCTAATGATCAACGATAAATTATTTAAGGCCTAGCTGTACCTTTGATGTACTGCACATCTCTGTAGGTTTCCTGTGTTGTTATTCTGTACAATAAACAATCAAGGTGCCCAACTGCATAAGGTGTAACATTTACACTTTTTTTTTAAATACTGGCGCTTCAGACAGATGAAGCATTTAAGCTGTATGAGCCATAAACATTGTTAACCCAGGTGAAAATGTGTAACTGGGAATACAACTGGTTTCAACGGGTGTTAACTGGGATCAACTGGTTTGAGTTGATTCCAGTTGTAACTGATTACAATTGACAGCTGTTACCAGTTACAACTAAATTGGTACAAGATGATTCCCGCTGCAACTAGACCCAGTTACAGCTCAACTGGCCACCAATGGGAACCATGACCAGTTGAAATGGAAGCATATATCTGTCCGAACTGTTTGGCAGCTTAGTGCAAAGCAACTCAAGACTTCGCTAAGCCGAAATACTTGCGCCAGCTCTTCAGAGCATGTGCTCGCTTGTTTCTCCACCAGAAAGATGCAGACCATCTGGGTGAAATTTGGTATTTCTGACCCTCAACAATCGACGATCAATGAAAAGGGACGTCCTTACAGCTAACATGCCTACTGTCGAATACTTTTTCACGATCGTCTGGTACGAGAAACACGTAGGTGCTACACTGAAGTGCAATTTTTAGATGATATCCCCCTTGACAACGACGACACACAAGCCACCTCACCTTGCCAAGTTGCTGGTCGCTGGATCCGTCTCTCAACAAACTGTTGTTCAGGCACTGCACGAGATTGTCTTTCCTTTTCGGCGCTGCCTTAATTGAACTGACAGCCGACTTCTTCACATCGCTCAATTTCTTTGAGCCTCTTTTCGCGCTCTTCTTGCCAGCGTCACTCTTTTTCTTCGTGCTCGCCGAGTTGGGGGCCCGACGACGCTCCGCCGTCGCTTCATCGTCGTCGTTTGCAAGTTCGCGTCCTCTGCGACGACCGCGACTACTTGGCCCAGCCTCGTCCATGAAGCCAGTCGTGTTCGGGATGACAGGCTTTCCACGTGTAGTACGGGAGCACAATAGCCAGCCGAAACCACCCTCACGCACTCAACGTGCTTTTACCTTTAACAGACAAGTTCAGGCACGTTGCAGGAATGGCGCGAACCTTGTTTTTAGCTCATTCTGCGCACGCGCGAGTCGTGCGCTTGCGCAAACCGCGCGTATTTCGGTTGCTAGGCACCCGCAAGCTCAAGGACGAACTTGACTTGTATTAGCGCGGCACACATTAAGCACAGACGTCAAGAAAGATAGGCGCTAAATTTCCAACTGTTTATTTCATGCCCTTCACATCCATCTTATACATGCGTAAAAATGCAACTCATCTTGCACGTGGTTTCATGGCTTTATTCCAAGATACAATCATTATCAGAGTTGGGGCCCCGACGACACTGTCGTCGCTTCATCGTCGGCAATTGACATGCAAGATGAGTTGTGTTTTTACGCATGGATGCGAAGGGCATGAAATAAACAGAAGTTTAGCGCCTACCTGTGGTATTGCGGCGTGCAATACGAATACACAACACTACCTTTCTTGACGTCTGTGTCGTCTTTCCTTTTTTTCATATGTGCCGCGCTATGTTCATAGATAACAAAAATATGTTCATAGATAACCAACTTGCCCGAGCCAGAATACTTCACGGACCAGAACCCATCATCATCGCTACCTCTGTGGCGCAGCACGCCCTTTTCCCCGGGTTATGTGGCAGTCTGTAGTACACGTGGGGGAGGGGTAGTCACCTAATAAAATGGGGGGGGGGGGGGGGGGCTGCGATGGACTTCTGCCCCCCTCGCCCCTGATTCAGAACCCTGCACACGCCTATGCGACGCTTCAGGATTCTTAAAGAGGACCACGCATATTTACAACGTCCCAGAGCGGATTATCGCTGCACCTACGGAGCCTTCGCTGAAAAGGTGCGCAAAGTGGAGGCATTTAATTGCTTGAGCGCATCAATATGTTCTATGAACATTTCATTTCTTGGTATCCTTAACGTTCAATGCTAGCAATGATGAGGCGGCAAATAACAGTAAGGTCAGAGAGTGCTTTGATGCCCGCAGTGGTGGCAGAGAACATCTGTATCACATCCTTGATTGCATTAAAGCATAGACAGTGGGTGGTAGCACGGTTACGCGGTTTAAGGTACCTAGATGAAACTTAGGGACCTCCGGTTAACGAAATGGTAGCACGGTTATCCGTGCAGGTACCAGCTCAAGCAAAGAAGACAGGATACAAGACTTAATGTATTTATTCAAAATTTCGATTAGTTTTCAAAAAAAAAAAATAGTGCTTGCTACTCAATTCTGTTCACATTAAAATATTACTATTCGAACTTTCCGAAGAGAAATACACTGAACATCTCAATTAACAATTGCTCCTTTAGATTTTCTTTATATGCTTCACCCCAACTTAGTTTCGTATTGCGGCAAAGCTGCCTTTCAGGCTCTGCTGCAGTCTCAAATGTGTTGACTCCAGAAAACATAGGTTCCTAGATGTAGATGACAGATGGGAAAAAGGTGGGGGCTCAATTAATACTGTTTTAAACCAGAAATTCAGGCAGGAAGTAAAAATAAACGCTGCAGATTTTTAGCATCTAAAATTTCAGATGTTCTCATATACAGATGTCTACGAGGAAGATATGAAACTCTGGACTTGACAGGAGCCCTCCCTTGTTCCCCACATCAGTTGGGCTTCTCTACATTAGTTGAAAAAGGAGGAGAGGCTGAGGAAATAGTATCTTTGCCTGTAATGCGTAAAGTGTTGTCGGCAACATTTCTACCTGCACCAAATCATGTACATAAATACCTAGCCAGTGGTTCATCAACCTAGCCAAAAGAAAGACCTTCATTTGCTATCTCATAAGAATATGCCTAGTAATCCTCTCCAACTTTTTTCTGCAATTTTGCTTCAAATAATATTACAAAATATTCTTTAAAAAATTGACAAATATTTATTATGATTCACATTTGCACTTCAATATTCAAATTTACTTTGCACTCAAATATTGCTATATTTGCACAGATCTAGTTGAAATCGTCACGAAACAATGGATTTCACTTGGTTCCACCAAAAACGTTATGTAGATAGTATCCAACCACGATATACTAGTCCATACACCTGTCTTCTCTTATAGAAGATGAGACTTCCTCCTCACTTGTTGCTGGCCTTTTTCTTTGGCTATGCACTCTTTATTAATTACTTTGTGTCGCTCTTTAAATTGAGACGCCTCCTTGCTTCTTTAATAATACCTTGCACATAAACCATTTCACAGCGTGGGGCGATGTTATAGATGAGGACTTTATAGAGAACATCACGGCACCATCGATGGTTACGACAAAACATGCCGAATGTCCATATAATTGTTATCGCAACACTAGAAAAAACTGGATCGTGTTGTTGGGCTAGTCGGCCCATGCTGAAGAAAGTTTACAGATGCAACCCACGTAGATGACAAAAGAAGAGGACTGGATGGAACTTAGTGGCACTATCCTGCGCCCTCTTTTTTTAATCTACACCTGAATAAAAAAAGGTAACATTCCTAGGGACACCGGGGTTGCACACACATTATTAAAAGCTGGCTTTCTGAAGCAATCAGTAGATACCATTTTGGCCAAAGCTGTAAATACTGTTAACCACTTCAGTTCTAATCGACAAAGATTCCTCTTGCAAACTATTGCAACTTGTAGGCCTGTGCAAATATTTGCACACTTCAAATAATCGAACGAATACTAATGTATTTGCATTCACTTCGAATCTAAATTATTGGAAATTTCGAAGTAAACAAGTAGGTGTATCCACATGTAACTTTCTGTAAAAGTGGCTTCGCTGCTGTGAAGGGGTGCTCTGCCTTTAACACATTTTTTCAGGAAAAGTTTGCACTGCCGCGAAATTTTACCACAGAACACCTACTTTACTTTGAGGTTAAATAAACACTTTAACCCCCCACCCACCAACCCACCCATTGATTCTTTTATTTAGGGGCAATGCTCCTTAAAGCGGCACCCGTTCATCCCTCGTCGTAGTCGTAGTTCATAACCAGTCTTGCCCTTTGACCTGTAAGGTGGTACCGGTGGGAGATTTCTCCTGTGCGCTGTGAACAATAAAAAATTCGCAGCGTGCACATTAACTAAAAGCCGAATTTTCCTGTCTCTCATTCTCAATTAGCAGCCATTGACATGTAAATTGACCACTATCTGACAAGAAAGGGTTGCTACGTTATATTCGCTGGGCGTAACCTCCTTGGTTTTATAAAGGTTTAGCGAGCGTTGGGCCGCAGTGCCATGAATACAGTGAACTAGTATATACCATGAACTCGAGGTGGTTAAAGGTGGGAAGTAGACCCAAAGCACAAGCCGTAAGAAAGTGTGCGTGTGCCATCTCTCGTTTAGGTCCTTGAATGTCCGCTGGATGGCGGTGCTTCTATATGGGGAATATATGATGAAAAGATGCGAGATGGTGGTACTTGGAGTGTTGAATAGATGGACGAACGGACACACAGACAGATGCATGGACGGATGCACGGATGGCTGCACGCACGGATGGACACATAGACGAACGCAGGACGGACGTGCGGATGCATGACGGACACACACACGACAGCCGATGGACGCACGGACGGTCACACAGAGGGACGCATGGACGGACAGATGCTTCGCCCCACTCTCCATCATTCACCCCGTGGATATGCTGCCATTATTTTTTTTATAAGCTTACAAATTCTATGGGAACTTATACGCTTTAAGAATGGTAAATTTAGAACGTAACATATTTTACAGGTTATCACGTGCACTCTACTGCAACTCAAATTCTGGTACTATTGGAAGTTGCTTCTGCTTCCATTGAATCAAAACCTATAGCATTTGCCCATGGCTTGTTTCAATTTAAAACAATATAGATCAGGTTAGTTAGATCATCATAAATATGATAAGTTTTCTTTATAATATGCGAATATGATGACATTATTCTTACCGAATTGCTTTCCTATTGGAACCTAAAACTCGCAATTCGCACAAGCCTAGTAACATGATTTTCAAATGATGCACAGCTTGATAAGTATCACATTCAATGATAGTCCAAGCACAACTGATGTTATTTTATGCATGACGAGAAATCAGTATAAGTATGGCCAGTAATGACCAGAAACGGAGAGTGTGACATGACTTAAATGACAAGCGAAAGAATGGTCAAGCATAATTGTGAATTGTAAATAACGGCCCTACGTTGCCATCTAAAGATGGAGTGTGAAATCTATGCTACACTGCAAAGCAAATGGCCGACTTTTAGCAAAAACAAGGTTGGGCCAAATACCTAGCTGTCCTCGGCAACAACTTATCTTGACATCGGAGCGAATGCTACAGAGGTGGGGCTTCCACACATACACGTTGCTCTGCAAGTAGTACGGCAGCTTGCAGCCGATTTGGGTTTCGCTTGCTTGCATCGTAAAAAACTCTATTCACGAACATGTGAATGGGAGAAACATTTTGGTGGTTTAGTGCAAATTTTACTGTCACATTACCAGTATATTTTCTTGGGGAACTAAACAGCGCGCTTGTGACCACACGCTTACCATGGAAAATGGGTTTGCTGAAAAGGTGCCGTTGTTTACGGAATGAAGAGAAAGGCATTCCTGCAAAGCGAACAATACTTGTATTTTACCTGCAACTTCCAGCATCTGTCCTAGTCTCATAATAAATAAAGCAGCATTTATTTGAGCGAGGCAAACAAGAAAATTATTAGTGAACTTGAGTACGGCCCTTTGGCGCAGTAGCAGGTATGCACTTCGGTTCTGTAGTTCCCACAGTGCCATCAAGGAAAGTTGCTGACGAGTGTAGTGAGTGCGAGGAGTATTAGTGGTTCGAAGTTTCACAAGCATGTGTAGCACAAGTCAAGATTAACTAGCCATAAGCACTATACAGCAACCTTTTATTCATGGTTTGTGACAAGCACAATGTAGAGGTCACTAAATAAAAACAAGCACGCTAAAAATTGTTGGCCTGCAGTCATCCACATAAACACACATCAGACATTGGTCAACAAACACATTACATTGGGATGGTACTGTGCCAGTCGGAATGTCCTCGCATAACTGCCACACATCATACACACTTTTTTGGCCTCCGTATAGCACATTGAAAAAGAGCGCGCTGCTGCAGCAGTGCTCACAGTGCCACTGCGGTACGTATGATTGGCCGCAGAAATTGCACCACTTGTCCACTGATGATTTGCCACAACCACTTGCTGACCGGCAGGGCTCTATAAAAAAATTGCTCGGATCTTAGTGCCGAGTGTGAAAAGCAAGTTTCGACAAGGAGGTTCATTGGCTCAAATTGTGCTTCGGCCAGACGCTGTGTCAAGTTTTATGTTGGAGTCCTGTGACGCTCTAGTGCTGCCTCTGGCTCCATCGTGAAGGCTAAGGCGTTAGACCAGCCCTTGTCTGAGTACTGATACTCCAAGCCATCCTCTTCCACTGCAAAGCAGGCAAGGAACTCGGGTTAGGGAAGACCGAAAGAGCATGCAGTGTCCCAGCAGACAGGCAGGCAGTCGGTCATGCAAGAACAGACTCCTCCTAAATACCACACATGCACAGCTTGCGCTTCACACAGATGAGTGGATTGTGTTTTGGGAAGGGAAGGGCTTCGAGGTGACACTACAACATGTACATAAGGTGCGGAGGGATTTGCTTGAGAATGGCAACCACAGTTAGTAAAGGTGATTTGTGCTGGAAAAGGCAAAAAAGATGACTGGACCAGGCACACAAAGCTTACTTCATTTTGCATGTATAACCCATCTCCTTACATTACTAAATCACATCATAATGTTACTTCACACAATATCGATTAAAAAAAAAGAGGTGAAAAGCAATCTTGCATGTACAAGTTCCTCGAACTCATAATTGACACTGTCTGCATAAACATCCTGCGATGGTTGGCACGGACCAGAGTTTCAAAACATTTTATTGTTACTGCCACAGTGGTGCAGTTTTCGAAGCATGTCGCCTCCAGATTGAAATAAATTATGGCCACACCACAAGGCAAAATTACTATGTAACCTGCACGCCAACTTTGTACATTTATGTCTTCTAGTTCTTGGTGTGAATACTATGCACACCTTTGGCCATGGAACATAATATTGCATGATTTTATATCTAGAGTGGCAGCACAGAAGTGCACAGCCACAACTGATGTTGCTACAGTTTACCAGACTGTTAGGCGAAAGAATGGGGACATGTAACTAACTGCAAAACAGCATATGTCATCTTCAGTAGGCATTTTTCATCATCATCATCATTTATTTTTGTACACTGCAAGATGAAGGCCCCTTATAGTACAATATTTACTCGCGTAATGAACGCACTTGCATAATAAGTGCACTCCAAACTTCAGTCAAAATCTAATTTTGCTTTCTCCCACGTAGTAAATGCACCCCCTACATTCACCCACTGCAGTCCTGCTAACCTGCACCTGGCGCCTCCTTGCCCGGTGGATCTTTAGTTTTTATTATTATGCAGACCCCCATCGGCACCCTCTGCTCGCTCCCACTCCCCCTTTCGCCCACTACCACGTGCCGTATTGTTTTTTTTTTTTCTATCTGTGCGCAGCATGTCCCCTGTCCTTTTCTAATTATCTGTGCGTCACATCGGGTTCACGAACGGTGCGAGTGTGAGACATCGCAGCTGATAAGCACACAGTAACGAAGGTCACGAAACTGCCTACACCAACCGATGGTCACTTCTGTATACTAAACGTTAAGGCCCACCCCCAGGCCCGTAATTTTCGAGCGACGATGACAGTGTTTGCTGTCCGCCATGGCTGGTTGCGAATTCGTTGCCATCGCGTCACAGGTTTTGGAAATCCCGAGAAATTGACTTGTTGGCCGGAAAAGATCGTGACAATTTCTGCAACGTGGCAGCACTCTATATTCTCGCTTCAGTTTGCAATTTTCTCTTCATACTTGTTACCAGCGTGTACTTCAAGAAACACAAAATACAGGCTACCTTCCTACAGTAATTTCACATACGAAAGCCGTACAGCAGCCGTATTTTGTCATTATTACTTCAATTGGCTTTTTTTGATGCCTTGATAGTAGCTTGACGCAATAATAATAGTGTAGTCGCGGTCATTGTGCAAAGTTGTCACGTAGTTGGCAAAGGGCATCGTAGCGCATACTTCTGGGCACCCCTCGAGATCGCAGGAGATACCATTGTTGCGGTTAAACGGTTGCGCGAAAAGAAAGCCGCGAAATGCTTTTGTGGAGTGCACGGGCAGTGCAGGACTGCTTGCATAAGATAGCGCTTCAACCACTGAATATGAGTGAAGTGCAACAAAGGAGCTGTTTCCAACAGCATACGTGTATGTCAATTTCAAAAGACTAAGTGACTTGACTTCTTTTTTTTTACATTTTACATTACCCAACATTTTAGCCCATCCCGAAAAAGTTTTCATATAATTTGCCCCGCATAGTAAACACACTCCCACCTTTGCTCTGTAGTTTTTAGAAAAAAAAAAGTGTCATTACGCTAACCTAGATTGTTTGAAATAAGAGTGTACTATGTGAACGCGGACAGGACAGACAGGGACCCTGTCTGTCCCTGTCTATCCTGTCCGTGGTCTACGTAATGCGCTCTTATTTCAAACAATCATGCATCACCACCTCACCCAATCAAACATATTGACAAGGTAACCTAGAACTCACTTGCCGCCTTGTGTGAGCTCTTCCCATTTAATTCTTGCAAACTTCTTAGTTTCGTCACTTCATCTAGCTCGTTGCCATCCTTGACTGCATTTCCAGTTCTTGGTGACCATTCCATCACTCTAATTCACCAGCATTGTCTGTCTTGCACATCACGCAGCCATACCAAGTCGATACCTTTGATTATTGTCAACTAGAAGATCCACTACCCATGTTTGCCCTCTGATCTTTCTGCCATCCTTGGATCACCCAACGTTACACCTCCCCTACCACTTACACTTCTCACGTTACACCCATGAAAATGGGAGCATGTATGCACAGTTTGCCACTTACACAAGCCACCATGTGCTGCCAAAATGAAATTGAGTAATGGTAAGTTAGTAGCCGGTTCTCCAGTACTGCATGGGAAACTAACAGGCATGCATAGATGCAGAAGCCAGTTGAGCTCTTGCGATGTGCAGCATTGCTAGGAATACTCACCAATGTGACAACCAGAATGCAAAGTATCCTCCTAGCTAACAGTAACTTGACCCTTCTCCAGCAATAAAAACACCGCACACACAATAGGGTGGCTCTCTAGATGCATGTGGCCATACCATGCAAACCCTTACAACTGTTGAAGTCCCTAAGGACAACTGAAGATATGTGCAACATTTCTCACAATGAGAAAAAAGTTGCTGTGAATTGACAGGCATACACATATACACCCCAAAAATGTCCTGGCAGTTTCATACTATCCTTGGGTTAACAGCAACTTTTTTGATATACTATTCTGGACAGTTGCTAGGTAACTGATGGCACCTGCAGCATTGTGCATGGACAAGGCAGTACTTAATATTTACACATCGTCAGTGAAAGCACTGTCGCATGCTATTTCTGAAAAGAAAAAAACAAAAGCCAACTGCATGCCATATCCAGCACTAATCTAGGAGTAGACACAAGATAAAAAAAAAATCAAGGAGGCACAAGGTAGGGCTTCATCGTACAAAGCAGTTTCTCAGATGACACGACCATATTGCTTGAAGATTTGTGTGAGTGCTTGAAGATTATTTGTATGTGTGATTTGTGTGAAAGCGTTTTCAAAGCAATGTTACTGGTTGCTGGTATCAAGGCTAAAGCAAATAGTTGAACCTCGGAAGCTGCATAAACCACACTCTCATTTATATGCAACTGAGCTATGACAGACAAGAGCTTTCTCCCGCCTGCTAGTCACACATAAACTGCTCTCAAGACGGGTTCTAATAATGGCAGTTGAAAATACAGAATTGTATTCAAGTCTTCTACATTACGGTATGTAGAAAGTGTAACGGCACACTGTGTTTCGCAAGCCATAAAATACAGGGCATCAAGGCCTTTCGTGAGCTACTTGAGAGGTGATAAGTGTTGTGTGCAAGGTGTCACAGCTGACACAAGTGTAGTGTTGTACCCTCATGGAGCTCGTCGGTTGTGGGACAGTGGCATGCTCATGCACGCGTCACATGACGTCCACAAAGAGCTCGCAGGGGTTGCCCATGGCCATGCGGAAGGACTGCCTACTACCGGTCAGTTCTTGAGAGCCCTCGGCACCGTCCACGCTGCGGCTAGACTCCGCGGGTGGTCCGCCACTGCCCCCTGCATTGCCACACCGGCATCACACCAGCTCTAAAAATGCCACCTGACACTCTGCGCTGTTTTGTGCAGCTCGTTGAGAGATTATGAGAAAGACAAAGGAGGAAGAATTTTCAATGACTCAAGGAGAAGAAAGAGATGACTATAACTTGAGGTGAGATATAATGCAGTCATAACAGTAGGCTTAAAATTTTGCCTTCTAACGTAGCCCAATCCAACAGGAGAGTGTTTCTATGCAATATCACATTCACATGCATTGCAGACCATTTAGGCATGTAACCTAGTTGCGGACTGCCTATTGCATAGAGTGATATGTCCTAACAGCAGCTTATCAGAATGCACAGAAGAGTTCATTAAAATGGTATCTGTCCTTGAATGATCAGATTTCACTGTGTCACACAGCTGTAGAAGATGATGTCACTGAACCTTGAGACGTCAAAACCTTGTTGTTGCCGGGTCTCCATGTTGCAAGACCCCCCTCATTTCCATTTGGCTTGTGCTCTCGTTGAGCGCATTCATGCATGCCTGTCTACATGGCTATATTTCTACGAGGCTGGTCAACCAAATGCTGTGCTTTCTTAATGAAGGACAATAGCAAAGAGAAAAGAGGAAGACACAGCAAAATCACTCTCAAAATTTATGATTCACAACATTGTTTGTTTTGAAATGAGAGCTCACTACTTAGACGCAGACAGAAAGACAGGGACAAGCGCTTCTAAGTAGTGTGCTCTCATTTCAAAACAATTATGTATCACCAACTCGCCCAATAAACCATATTGACAAATTACACCATAGCTGGCATTTGTTGTGAAGATTGGCACCAGGAAATAGCCTGAAATGGGAATGTATCTATGAGGTTTTACTGTACTGAACTAACATATTTACTCGCGTAATGAATGCCCTCGCAGAATAAACGCACCCCCAACTTCAGTAATTAAAATTTGGATTTTTTTCCCCCCGCATGATAAACGCATCCCCTACATTCATCTCCTGCAGTTCCGCTAACAAACACCTGGTGCCTCCTCACCCGTTCGCTCTCTTTCCGTTTTTCATTACTTTGCCAACCCCCCTCAACCACCTTGGCTCATTCGCCACCTCGCCCCTTGCGCGTGCCTATTGCTTTTTTTACTATCTGTGCGCAGCAGGTCCCCCCCCCCCCCCATCTTATCTATGCGCCTTAGCTGGGTTCATGCACAATGTGAGTGTAAAGAGATGTAGAGACATCGCAGCTGATAAGCACATAGCCAGCGAAGGTCACCAAACTCCGTTGCTTTCAGCGAAACCCCCCCCCCTTCCCTCTTTTTAGCCTTTCTTTTTTCTTCACTCTAACTGTTCCTTCATTCCCGGACGCCCCTCGAGATCACAAGCAGATACCACTCTTGCAGTTAAACGATTGCCAGAAAAGGTAGTTGCAAAGCGCCCGCCCCCGTGGCCCGAGGTCAGCTTGCAGAAGATAGCGCCATCAACCACCGGAAAATGAGTAAAGTGAAACAAAAAAGCTGTTTTCAAACAGTGTACGTGCATATGAAAGGCTAAGCGACCTAACTTTTTTTTTTGCATTAGCGCATTTTTTCTTTTTCCCGAAAAAGTTTTCATACCATTTACCCCGCGTGCATTCATTACGCGTTCCTTACGCGAGTAAATACAGTATCTTGTGATCACCTTTACGTCCAATATATCCAGATTTAAGGGAAGTCAAGAGTAATGAAAACATGTCCGACTGAAAATTTTCATTGAAGTGCTTTGCGAGGAACACATGGGGACAAGAAAAGGAGGCACACAAATAAGTGCAATCTAAATGTTTTATTTTTGAAAAAGCTTTGCTTAAAACCGAATGTGACCTGTGCAATAACAGCAGAGAACACACCATCCGCACACATAACAATTACTCTAGATAACAATGCCACAGGTCATCACGTCAACGCCCTAACAACCCCACCGGTGACAAATCACGCCTTTTCGTGTGTTAAGTGATGCCCACTGCGTGCTCACAACTGAATTGAACCACCTTTGCTAGAATTGATGCTGTTTCACTGAAGCGCGATACTGCCATGTGGAGCTGATCATCCCTGTCTGGTTGCGTGCAGTATGTTGCCTACTCGGCTCACACAGTCACATGCCGGGTCGTTTGCAGTAATGTATGCACGTGTTTGTTGCATTCTTCGTGCATGCTTTACTCGTGCGGCATATAGCCTCTTCATTCAATGTGATGAAGACATGTAATTGGCAAGTGGCCATGCACGACGCAGCGGCGGTGGATTCGCTAACGACAGCATAGCACCCCTGTACCACTGTCACTTCACACAGTTTACGTCAAATGCACAGCCAAGCAGATATCTGCAGATAACTGATAAGGTTGTCAGTGATTGGTCATAATGGCATGCTCATTGCTACCAGTCACATTGCCTTCGCTCTTTTTTGATGCTTATTCATGAAGGCATTGCCACAACTGCATGGGAGTCATTATCATTGATCGATCAGTCTCTGTCGTAACCGAAAGGCGCAAAACGTTTTGTGGCACCTTGTGGTGTCATTCATGCAAAAAAAAAAAAAAAAAATGCTTCCTGCATTTATGGCTTTTTGCATTTGAATATTTTTTTTAGGTTCATCATCGTTTCTCATAGATGAAGAGAACAGCATCAGAAAAGGTTCACTGTCATTCTGCCACTGAAGAAACATCTGCAGATTTCGGGTGCTCTTGCAGCACCCAAAATCTGCATGCGGTGCTTGCCGCCGTTGATGATAACATTGTTGCAAGTAAACTGCAGTGGAGTGCACTAGAATGCGAGCTTCTCACGCGCTTTAGGATTCCAGTTTAAAATTTTTTTTCCTACTTTGTATGCATAATATTTTCACTGCGATCATGTTGGAAGTGTTCATCACAGTTTCAAAGGACAGCAAAGGGAAATTGTAAGTGCACAGAAATACGGTCTGTATAACTGCTAGGTCGTTATAGCTGGGATCCAATATATTACGATATCGTGCAATATCACTTCTTTTCGGCCTGGCCACACCAGACAAATATAAGAAAGAAATAACATAATTTGAGAGCATCATGAAAATACCTCATACTGACACCAGCATCTAAAAATGAACACTCAAAGTTGATGCTGGACATAAATATGGTATTTTTTCATTAAATCAAAGTACTATTGTGTCTCACATAGGGTTGGATATTTTGCTTTTAGAATGTCTCTCCTTATCTCTAAGCACAAAGGCAACTAAATATGCATGTGGTTGACCGACCTATCTTTCATTCTCAGAGAAATGAGAATGAAAGTTTAGACGTCGGGAATTAAAGTACAGCAAATGTTGAATAAGGCAGCTGCTTGCTTTATTAAACCAAACATTCACATAACCACAACTGCAATCAAACTTTATTTAGGGAAACACCGGTTGACGAGAGAGGGCTCGTTTAGACACAGAGTTCAGGACCAAAGTGCTCACCAGATCCCGAATGGGTGCTCCCCTCACGAGCATAGTTGACGTAGGAGGCCAGTTGTGTCTCGGCAGCACTCGGGGCAGCCGTGCTGCCACACACGTACCCGGCTGGCAGTAGGGGACCCAAGCAGCCCCAGGGGGGCACCATGCCCCCAGCCCCACCTTCCTCGTCCTCTTCTTGAAGACGCAGTGAGCACATGTCTGAACAGGGCAGGGCAAGGTACAGAGTGTGAATCATGTGACCAAAACTGGATGTGAAAGAGGAGGGCTACATCAAAAGTAAAAGCTAGAGCAGTGTGAATAGCAAAATTCTGAGTGCAAAGCGAATTCGAATATGAAAGTTCGAGTGCAAATCATTTGAATATTTTCTAATACTTTAAGGTGAAATAATAGAAGAAAGGTTGCAGAGAATCCCTAAGCACATTCTTATGAGAAAGGAACATGGTGTTCCCTAATTGTTGTATTAGGGATGAGGCAATGCAGACCGACTCACTTATTTTAGGCTTATGCAAATAGTGAATTTCAGGTTCCAAGCGAATAGTGACTTTGGTCAAATAACTTCAAGTCAAATTAGAATAGCATATATTTGTCAAGTTATAACAAACGTGCCTAATATTTTTTAAAAATTGAAACAAAGCCTGTGCAAATGTAATTTTTTAGCTTCAAAGAAACTGGAAACGACTTTGAACAGCAGTAGCATTTGACTTTCGGTAGAATGCAAGTGATAACCTACAAAATATGTTACATTTTAATATGTGCAATATCTAGAGCATATAAGTCAGTAGAACATGTTTAGAAACTTAAATTCTTCACCTAACCTTGAAGTAAGGCTTTGCAACAATGCAAAGTTTGCTTGAACAAGTGTTTTTATAGCTTAGCATCACTTCACTTCAGTGAAACCACCTTAAAAAAAAAAAAAGGTAAATGTTTTTACGGTTTCGCACGTCTTCACTGCATAAAAACCACATGTAACTTATTATTAGTCTACATGTAACACAATAAAAAGGTGGTTTCACTGTAGTACATGGGTGCTAGACTGTGAAAGCATTTAATTTTATGTATATACGTTTACATGTAAAAGTAATTTCACTGCAGTGAAGAGGTTTCACTGCAGTGAAGAGGTGGAAGAAAACGCATATTCACGAGAAATTTGCTATTCACTTCGTACCCACAATTCACTATTTGCACAAGCCTAATGAGCATACATGTATAAGCTTCATTACAATTTTATCTTTGTCTTAAAATGTTGAGTTGTATTCACTCGAAGAACTAAACTGAGATCAGAGTCCATGGATTGTGTATTATGTTGTAGTGCCACCATCACCATCATCATTTTCTCAATCACCACGGCCGCGCCTCTCGCGCAGCTGATGCTAGCTCGAGCTGCGCGAGGATTAGAACAAGCTAGGCACTTGGTGTGTCGGACGTGGAAAGCCACGCGGCCTCCGCTTCAGGCCTGATAATAAAGTAGCGAGAGAACGACACGACCACGTTGGCCGCCGTCTCCGTCTTCCTCTCTCGCTACATTGGTGACCCGGAGAACACGCCCTTCGCCTGAGCGGCCCGCTGCCATGTTCCCGCAACTCTGCCCGCCAGTGGCCGCCGTTCCAATCGACCTACCCAAGGTATGGTTCATGCAGCTCGATGCCGTTCTTGCGCTGAATGGCGTCACGGACCAGCCGCTGATGCACGCCATTCTTCATGACGCCCTTCCGGTAGAGTTGCGTCATCTCTCTGCCACTTCAACCTCCAGCCAGCAGCCTTACGATGACCTCTGCTCTGCGGTGCTTGCCAGCTATGGCCTCACCTACCACCCGCTGCCATTTACCCGCGACTTTCAGGTTTTCCCTGCGTCGCCGCGTGCTGGACCCTCCGGCCTGAAGCTCTCATCTGACCGCAACCTAACTTCCCGACAACGTCTCCCTCCACCTTTGGTCCGGCCACTAGCGCAGTGATTCTCGCACCCGGTCACAGATCCGACGAGGTTCTTGAAGTCGTTCCTGCTGCCGACAACCCTGTCCACCACGAAGTGCGTTTTTTCGAAGTCCTCGGCCGATGGTCCTTCTGGCACGCTTGCTACCTGCACGTTTTTCACGAAAGCGACGGCACGCGACACCGTGGCCCCACCAGACTCCATGACGACCACCTGTCCGCCCGCTTCGGAGCCTGGCACAGGTGACCTTTCGCCCGTTATTGACTTCCCGACATCGAAGCTTTCGCCTTCAACAACGTCCGATAAACGAGACTTAACCTCTCGTCTGGCCACTAGCGACGCGTGTCCTGCGCCCGACTGCCCATCCGCCAAGGTTCTCGACATTTGGGCTGAATGCAACCAGTCAGCCACGAGGTTTGTGTTTTCATCGTCCTCGGCCGACGACGCTGCAGGCATGCTTACCACCGGCTCGTCTCGGCCGACCTCCATGGCTCACAACACGGCTGACACGTCAGGTTCTACGACGGCAACATCACCGAACGCCTGGTGGCTACCACGGACTATGGGCATTGTCACGCCCCGTAGTCACCTCCGGTTCAGAACCTTCCCCCTCCCCAGATGTCCGAAGGCGACTGTCGACCAGCCTCAATGCTGCTGCACGTCCTGCCAGCAACGACCACCATCGTCCTCGCAGTTTTCCCGCAGCTGAAGTTAAGCCACCAGCCATCAACCACGGCCAAGCTTCCAAGACGCTGCTACTATGACTGACGCCTTGAGGACGACGTGCCCGGTCGCTTCAGACAAGGCTCACCAGGCATACCACGCCTGCGGTGGAGCAATATAGGGAGTGTTCGGCTAGAGGCAGCCATCAATTATGCAGACCTGCACGCCAACCCTCGTGCGCGGACTACGGAGGTCATTACACGAGCACAGGTGTCCGTCCAATACTCCGGGCGAGCCCACGCTGACTGGGTTCCACCACCACCATCCCCGGAGCCTTTGCCTCCGGACGGCAACAACCAGACGTGTGTCACAACGCCAGCTCGTGTGCTCACAACCGCGACGAGCTCATACCTCATAGTGTCTACCACCCATTACCCTACGTCGGCGACGACAACGTGCTTGGCGTCACACATTGCGGCAACTTTTGAGCCGCCCTGCTACGCAGCCACGAGTTGCAGTCACAGCCCTGAAGACGGCCAAGCGCCTACTCGGCCTATCCGGCAGCAATGTCCCACCACTAGTCGTGTACCCGACTACCCACCGTACACTTGGCGGCATTGTTAGGACACGTTCCTGCGTGCGTCGGCACGTCTATCTATACCGGCACGTCAGACACCGCTCGTCTTTGAGGTCTGTGTTGCGTCGACCCCAACGTCAAAAGGCGCACTGCCGACCCTCTGCCGACGTTAGCAGCATGACCTCGCGACACACGGTCCACTCTCAGGCCTGTCCGACCAGGTCATCCGTGAGACCCGCTTGTCGGCAACCACAGCGACCCGGCACTTCCTTTCTTCGTCCCTTGCGCTTCTCCCAGAGTCGCCCACCCGGAGACACACTGCTTACCGATGGCCCATAAACGTTGACAACCTGGACTTGCCAAATGAACACTTTATGGATTGTCGTTCATGTATATAGCATTTGTCGCTCTCTTTCTTTTTTTCATATGCCTTCAAATCGCGCAAAGCGCTAGGGGGAGGGAGCCCTGTAGTGCCATCATCACCATCATCATTTCTCAATCACCGCGCCGCGCCTCTCGCGCAGCTGGTGCTAGCTCGAGCTGCGCGAGGATTAGAAAAGCTAGCGCGCACTTGGTGTATCGGACGTGGAAAGCCACGCGGCTCCGCTTCAGGCTGGAATAAAGTGAGCGATGAGAACGACACGACCACGTTGGCTGCTGTCCCGTCTTCCTCTCTCGCTACAATGTGACCATACTTCACCCATTCCTGTGGCGTTCCTTCAATCAAACGAGAAGTGATTCGTGAAATCAAGGAGACCAAAATCACAGTCACAGTCAACAAATCACAAAACTCGGCTAGCTGGTGTGAATCCAGTGTCTTTCTTGCACATCCAGTTCTGGATCGATCTATATGTGCTAAAAAATCACTATGGATCCACAGTTGCACAATTTGGAGAGAAATACCAAAATCCCCCCCTGTTGTGTGAGAGGTGTCTGTGGAGCGATCTGAATCACATCACGTGTGATGCGACTTATTCGTCCTCGATTGCATCAATACGCCTTTATGCTGCTAGTCGGGTGTGAACACTCCGCATCTGAAAACTGGAGCATTTTTCATAACCTGCTTTCTTTTCAGACTGCCTGTGATACAGAATTGATACAGTCAGTTGGTAAATTAGTAATGACAAGCTATAAGCAACAATCAAAGCTTTTGACAACCAGGTTGACCTCTGCACACACTCACCAAGGGAAAGGTCGCTGAACACGTAGTAACACTGCTCAGAGAAGGAAAGTTTGTTGACAGTGTGCCGAATGAGGCCCGCCTTGAGTAGCTGGTTAGCATACTTCTTGGCTTCCTTGCGGTCTTGAAAGCCCTGCACGTGTGTTGTGAGCCAGTCTACCACATCCACCCCTGCAACACAAAAGAACGCAAGTCAAGCCACTCCATTACTGTGGAAAACAGGACAGTACATTCATTTTCTTGGTCTCAGCAGAGGGTCCTAGTTTCAATTTCGTTCAATCTGCAAGCTAAAGGCTTCTGCAAATACTGAATTTTAGGTTAAAAGCAAATACGAAACAAAAAGTGACATTTGAATACCGTATTTACTCGCATAATAGACGCACTTTTTTTTCAGAAAATCCGGCTCGAAGTTAGGGCTGCGCCAATTACGCAGGGTAAAATTTTCGAAAAATTTTTCAACTCGGTTCTCGCGCTTTAAATCTGCACACTTGTCAAGTAAAAGGCGACTTTATCGTTTACCAATTAATTCAGCATAAAACAAACATACCTACGTACCTTTTAATGAACAAGCGAGAGCCATCAACTGCACACACACACGTAAAATTTATTTACACAAAAGTCGTAGCTGTTCCTTCTTTTCCCTATTCGGAGTCCGAGTCGGAGATTACACATTCATCCTCGCCGAGCGGGGATTCGTTTTCGGTGTCCGAATCATCCGCACCCCACAACATGTCATCCTCACTCGCATCCAGTGCGTTCGAGATACCCGTGTTCTTGAAGCTTTTCCTGACGACTTCGTCGGAGATCGCCTGCCACGCTTCCACGATCCAAGCGCACAGCATTTCCACAGGCGGCCTCTTAATCTTACCACCTGTAGTCAGCTGATGTTGTCCTCCAGCCATCCAGGTGGTGTACAGCCTTCGAACATTGTCCTTGAAAGGTTTATTCAAGGACACGTCCAAAGGCTGCAGTATCGATGTGAGGCCGCCCGGAATCACTCCCAGATCTGTGCGCAGCTCCTTTAGCTCATCTCGTATGTGGTCTACTAGGTGCCCACGAAAACTGTCCAGGACAAGCATAGACGGCAACAACAGACCACCCGGCCGCCGACCCCAGACTGTTTTCACCCAATCCACCATGAGTTCCGCGCTCATCCAGCCTTTTTCCTGGACTCTGACGTAGATGCCTTGAGGGAATTTTGCCTTTGGGAGCGTCTTACGTTTAAAAATAACGTAAGGCGGTAGCTTACGCCCATCCGCTGTCACCGCCAGCATTACGGTGCATCGTTGTTTATCAGTGCCAGACGTTCTGACGATAACGCTCCGTGCACCTTTCTCCTCCACTGCCGTGTTCCACGGCATATCAAGGCAAAGGGGGGTCTGATCAGCGTTGCCGATCTGGGACAAAATGAAGTCTTTCTGCTGTCGGAGCTTTATAACAAAACTGTGGAAGTCCACCACTTTGTCCTCATATGCTGCGGGCAAGCGCTGGCACAAGGTGGTCCGCCTTCGCAGTGCGAGGCCATGGCGCCGCATGAAACGAGTTGTCCATCCGAGCTGGCTTTGAACTCTTTTGCTTCGATGCCCTGCGCTTGGGCTATTCTGCGCGCCTCAGTCTCCACAATATCCAACGACACAGCAAAGCCGTCTTGTCGTAGCTCCCGTATATGCCGGACCAGTTGCTCTTCGACGTTCGGATACCTGCCGGTCTTGGCACCGCGGAAAGCCCATCGTGTCTTCTTCGTCGCCTTAAGTTTTTCTTCTTGGTCCCTCCAGTACCGAATACTGGTTTCTCCAACGCCGAAATGCCTGCTTGCAGCCCGGTTGCCGTGCTCCAGCGCGTACTGCACTGCCTTCAGTTTAAACCCAGCCGTGTAGCTCGCGTACTTCCCCATGGTGAAACCAAAGTTCAATACACAACCACAACATACGCACACCGCTTGCAAAATGGCGTTTCTTTCTTTTTCTCTGATGGTGGTGATGGCGATCGAGCCCCCGGCATTGTACACGTGACCTCCAAAAAGCGCGGCGATTTGGGGGGTATCAGTAATTGATAGAACAGCCGTTTTTTTTTTTCCGCTCATGGACGCCTTTTTTTTCAAGTTTTATTTCGACAAACACGTTGGTTAGGTCGTTGCACTTCGAATTTTTTTTATTTGCTCGTCGATTTGCCTTCTTTTTTTCTTCAGGGTACGGGGACCGCGTTCCAACTGTACCGCTGGGGGGTAGAATCGTTTCTGATCACGGCCAAGTTCGGGGTGTGCCTATTATGCGCGGAATTAAAAAAAATCGAATTTTCCGCGACCAAACTAGGGGTGCGCCTATTATGCGAGTGCGCCGATTATGCGAGTAAATACGGTAATACCGAATCGAATTCTAATATTGCACATATTACATATCATAAAGAAAATTGTGCATACTTTCACATAATACTTTAAAAGTTGAAACAGGGTCTCTGTCAATGCCATTTTTTTTGGTTCAAAGGACGTGGAAACAACTTTGAATAGTAGCAGGATTTCACTTTTGGTGGAAAGCAAATGATAAGCAGCAAAATACGTTATGCTTTAAAGTCTTGAAGCAAACAAATTTCTACAAATTTCTACACTTAAAACAAAAAAAAAAGCCAGGCCTGCACTGAACACGCAGCACTGTCACAGCGAAAGCCAGAAGAGCAGCCTTTAAGAGCCTTTTTTTTTAACTCTTTGGGTAGCTGTTGCAAGCACACTTATTATTCATTGTGTAATAGGCAGGCATTCACTGCCATCCAACGTAATTTTTCGGAGAAGCATGGTATCTGCGAAACACTTGCAACGAATTTTGTGCGAATCCTGTTTTCCATGCAGTGGCTGACGACGATAAATAATTATGCCTGAAATGGGTATGCGTCATAGTTAAATAGATGATGAAAAACAAGCTTTTGTAATGAGTTGGAGTATTGGACAACCTACTCGTTATGCAATTCACATTGTGTGATGCCTGGTTGTTCCTTTTATGTTCTAAAATGCTTTGGAAATCATATTAATGCGATTCCTTTTCCGACGTCAAGCCTGCCTAAAGCAAGTTTGCAAATGACTCCCAACCCCAGGCACGCCTCAGAGATAGAATACTGGGCTGGCACGCAGTGGACCCGGGTTCGAGTTCCACTAAGTCCTTGGTGTTTTTTATTTTAGTTTTTTTTTCTTATTTCATTAGATAGTGGTTACGGACACGGTGGCAACGGCAGAACACTACGATGCCGCCCGTGACCCATGTTGTGATTTCATAACAGCTTTCGCTGTAAAATTATGAATCGATGAGAGGGCAATATGTTCATTTAAACTTGAAGTGGAGCATCGCGGCAATGCGAATTTCCTTTGAATAAATGCTTTCACGGCTTTGCACTCCTACACCGCAGTGAAACCACATTTACAAAAAGTTATAGTATGAGGACTAATATACATTTATTTGTTCATTTCAAATACTTCGAAATTTTCAATAATTTAAATTTAGGTGAAAGAGAATACGAATACTGTGATACTCGTTCGAATATTTACACAAACCACATAGACCACCAATAAAGGACTGACATGTCGAAATGTCATTTCCCAGAACAGATTTTCACTGGCTTAAAACATGTGCTTTGAGCTATGTAGTAGTACACGGTCGAATTTCTTTATAAGAGACACTAGTGTGCCTACAGTAAAATACGGGTTGATAAGCAATGCATGTGCGGTACCCTGCTCACTGGAGATCTGATATAAAAGAAAAGAACTGATGCCCAGAACATGCCTCTTATAAAAGGGTTCAACAGTATAACAATGCAAGACTTTATGCAGAAGGGAGACACAGCCTCTACTAGTATTTCACGAGGTGGTAGCAAACGCTGTTTCGATAAAAGGCATTTGTGATATAGGAAATTGCGTAGTCCATTTTAGTTTTCTTTAAATGGCTAATTCTTTCGCTCACCTATAAAGGCCTTCGGGATAGTGATCTTGAGCCACATGCGGTCCCTCACGTCCAGTCCTGAATCGGGAGCTGCCATGGCTTTCACGATTGTCTCCATGTCAGTCTCCACAGTCAGTGGTGGCTCCTGGAGCTGCCCTGTGAAGCATAACATGCTTGGTTACAGTGCAGCTCCACCTAAACACAAAGTATTCTTCGCCCATATAACAGCTGGGAAGGTTTACCTCAAGGTACTGATTAGTGCTAACATTTTTTTCTTCTGTGTTTCCAATGTGCCCAACAATATGAATACATTAAAAATTAGCTCAACTTTTTATGGTAGCTCTGTCTTGGTAGCAAGTGCCAAAAACCTACAAAGTACTAGACACTTCAAAAGCTCACTAACAGTAGAGGCTAAACAATAACAAAAAAATGCGACACAGTCATGAAGGGTCTCATGACTGCCTTTTTGAAATTTATTTAACAATGCACAAGTATGGGCTACTTGGTAATCTATTGATCCTACTTTACTTCAGAGACAAGGAACGAAGAATCTGACACACAGTGCTTGTGTGTGTTATAATTCTTTGTCCCTTGTCTCTGAAGTTTGCGTTACAATAGCATCAGTTTTAATTATCAACAAGCTTGCCTCTTTACGACAGTGTTTACCAAAGCAATAAAGCTGTATCTGCGTAACAAAGATACTCGACAATAATAGATCACTCTACATTCACTCTGCCACTGACCTCACAATGGCAGAAGATGACTAATCATAGTTATAGCAAATGCAATTATATATGGAGCTCTGCTACCAGCGTCACTTTATTGGCATTTATGTAAAGTCAGAAAGTTGAATTGGGGGTGGGGGGCATTCAGGAAGCAACAAGCCTCGATGGAAATAGCGTATTAACTGCAACACACATTCCAGCAATGGAAAAAGGACAAATTTCTAAAATTATCATTGTGCAATGTTGCTAAAATAAAAATGAGCCATGTTAAATAGCTTAGTGCCAGCACCGATCAGCCCCAGGCACTTACTCTCTGACTCGGGCACCGACGAAGTGACTGACGATGAAGTGGAGGTGAGGGTGGAAACAGATGGTGGCCTCAAAGGCCCGTCGTAAAGCAGCGGTTGACGGAGCGAAGGCCCCGGGCCAGCGAGAGCCGCGAGTGGCCAATGGCAGAGGAAGAACCGCGTGCAGCCTCTGTATGTGCCACCCAAGCTCCTGGGTCGATGGGGCGCACGGGCTCGGTGCGTGGGATGGTGAAGTAGCCTTTAGGGTTGGGGTCCCAACACTTGGCCACCACCAACTTGATGGGGCTGCGAGGTCACACGACACATGCACTTATCCTATGTGCTTCTAACAATGCTTTGTATTTAACAGCAAAGCTTTACAAAATGTTCGGAATTTCGTCTGGCCTGTAGTTCCACACGCGCATGGCCAGACCAGGAAACGTGGACAACTATGACACATGACTGATTCAGCATCCGGAGCACAGTACACAATGCCACCACTCAGAGTGCACTTCGAAGCAAAATAGAAAAAAAAGAAAAGAGGGAAAAGAAAGAAATTTTAGGGTTAATTATGCAAACAAGACATGCACCACTTGCTCTGCCACTTCATTGAACGCAAGTGCACTACTCTGCTTGCTGCAACAATGAGCGACTGTCTACTGCGGGTGTGAAGCTTGCCTCCTGGAGGAACGGTAACAAAATTCTATTTCTTCTAACATGTCCAATAATTAACGTGTTTTAAAAAGTTAGTTTAGTAAGACACTCCTGATATTGCACCTTACGACTTCCAGTAATTAACCAACATTTTGAAATCGGACCTGGGGAGGTGTATTTTAAAGATATTCTACACTACACGCATCAAAACTAAATTTACATTTCTCGCAAAGTATCTTGACATATTAGAGGCAATGCAGCTGTCGAAAGCTAATTAACGTGTTTTAAAAAGTTAGTTTAGTAAGACACTCCTGATATTGCACCTTACGACTTCCAGTAATTAACCAACATTTTGAAATCGGACCTGGGGAGGTGTATTTTAAAGATATTCTACACTACACGCATCAAAACTAAATTTACATTTCTCGCAAAGTATCTTGACATATTAGAGGCAATGCAGCTGTCGAAAGCTCACAGAAGCAACCGTGCACTGAGTAAAGAAGCCAAGGAGGAATATGTAAAAAAGATTCATCAGACATTTGTGCCGAGCGATTTAAACTTGCAAAAAAATAAGAGAGAGAGAGAGGGGGAGGAGAACATAATATGACTGATTATGCAAGGCACTACTTTAAGGGTCATACGGCAACATAGTCATGTGAAGTGGGCTGATTTTTCACTTGTTTTGAAGGATGGTGACTCACCCAGGTTTTTGCACAGTCTCTCGTAACACCCGCACAGCATCGTCGTTGCTCATGTTCTCAAAGTTGATGTCGTTCACTTGAAGTATCATGTCGCCTGGCTCAATGCGACCATCCAACGCAACAGCACCCCTGCAACAAGTGAACAGACGCTCACTGAGGTCCGACTTAGAGGCAGACCAAAACTGCAGCAAGATGGTTTGAAAAGTATGACAACAGCATAGTCTCAATACTATCATGAATACAGTAACAGGCCATAGGTATGTATGTGTAACCAACTAGCCTCAATACGGGATGTTATTAGAAGTAAGTGTAACAGGCCATAGGTATGTGTAACCAACTAGCCTCAATACGGGATGTTATTAGAAGTAAGTGTAGTGTAAATATAAAAAAAAGAAAAGTGGATGAAAAGATAACTTGCTATAGGCAGGATTCCAATCTGTGACCTTCCAATAACACATCTGATGCTCTACCACTGAGCTACAGTGGCCATTATTACCTCGTCTACTTTATAAGGTATGTATGTACATTTAAACGTGGGTTAGTTCTCATTGAAATTATGTCTAACAAAGAAAACGAGCCTTTAAAATTTACGCTTTCCTTCATCTAGCCCCAGTAGCAGGTCTGCTATCAAAATTCAAGTCGACAGATAATTGAAACTGTACGTCTTGTCTTGGCCAAGTTGTGTATTTGAATGGAGAAGAACTTCAGCAGTTTTTAATACTTACAAACATTCTAAGCTCATTTCCAACAGAACCGACCACTTTTCAGACTGCTTACAAGAAAAATGTTTCACCATTTACGTTGCCTTTTCTTTTCGTGAGTCTCCAAAACTCGTGACAGCATACCACCACTATGGTTTGCACGAGAAAACAACACACCTAAAGCGATGACTTATCTTTGTACTGTGGTGTTTTACTTACAGCGATTGATAGCACGGGCACCAAAACACGATAATTATCTCAACACATCAACACCAACTATACACCAATCATTCAAAATATTGTTAATCACCTTAAAGTTGCTAATGCACATACAATGACTTTGGCAGCTGGTGCCTCTTTTTTTGTTATCATATACTGTATGCTGAATTGTATTTACCATATATTGATTAACTACAATGGACCTCTAGCCCCGCCACGGTGGTCTAGTGGCTAAGGCACCCGGCTACTGACCCGCAGGTCGCGGGATCGAATCCCGGCTGCGGCGGCTGCATTTCCGATGGAGGTGCAAATGTTGTAGGCCCGCGTGCTCAGATTTGGGTGCATGTTAAAGAACCCCAGGTGGTCGAAATTTACAGAGCCCTCCACTACGGCGTCTCTCATAATCATATGGTGGTTTTGGGACATAAAACCCCAAATATCAATGAATTACAATGGACCTCTATATAGTACTGTATTGCAAAGTTATGGGGCAGGGAAGTAAGTAGTGAATGACTCGCACAGTTTCACCTTCACCAATGAAGAGCCATCCATTGCGTTGGAAGTTGTACTGTACTCACCCTTTCATGATAGAGCCCACATAGATGCCACCATCTCCACCTTTGTTCGATTGGCCCACTATGCTAATCCCAAGAAAGTTGACCGTATCTGCAAGTATAGCACAGAAACTTAGCACACTTCTGCACAAGGTACACCATCCAGCAAAAGCTTGCAGAATGCAAAATTTTTGACAAAATTGTATTCATGCTTTGTCCAGGAACACAGTTTCTAATCAAGTGTACCAGCCTATTCTTGCAATCTCTACAATTTTTTGCTAGAAATGAAGTGACATGCACTAACAGAACAGCAGTTTGCACTTTTAATGGAGCCCACGTCCCTTAAACTTCTTTGCTGTTGGGTGCACAACCCTCTGCAGACAGTGCCTGAAAACTTGGTACATCCTAAGATGCCAGAAGCATACCAAGACCTAGTTACCGCAGGCTCCCTAAGCACTTGGTATGCTTAGCTAGAAGTCACCTCTATCATTTCATGAAACTACTAGATGAAATTCAGGTGTATTGAATTTTCCTTACACAATGCCCAATGTCTGAAAAAGAAAAAGGGGGGACCTTTTTCATGTATCCATGCGTAAGTGCAGTTCTTCATACTAGTGACACAACATAATAAATGCACATTAATTTCAGTTATAACTATAAATTTTATATATTAAGAAATCAAAGCAATAGCCTAAAGCTCATGCTTACCCAAGTTTAACGTGACAGTGATGATGTTTAACGACAGCGTGCTGTCCGTGATGCTGCTGATTGAAGAAGTCTGAAAACACACGCGATAAAAGTACAATACAGTGAAACACTGTTAATACACACATGCCGGGGACGGCGGCATAACTACGCACTAAACGCACTACACATTAACCACCAGTTACAATGCGCCATCGCCGCCATCGCCGCCAACAAAGGAACAAACTCAGTGCAACGGGAAATATTGCCTAAAATGCCCACCACAAAGCCATTTCTTTATTTTCGCCAACAAAGTGCACAAAAGTTTCGCACTCTCGCACTGATGGTATGCAGTGGCGACGCCAAATGGGCATTTGGAAACTACTGCGGGATACACAGCGTGGTACTTTTGTTCCGTGGTCTGCTTCTAAGCGAAAACTGGCGCGGTTTTCTTTTTTATATGCGGTACAGTTGTAGAGAGCCAGATTGTTTAGTGAGGCTAGTTGCGTGCAGCACTTCGCTCACTTATCGCACACTGTGATTGCCGATCCGCTTGCTGTAGAGTACACCCTCTCCGCTTCAGGCCATGCACAGATGCGGCGAGTAGGGCAATGACGAGCTTTCCACAAGCAATGTGCTCTCCGTGATGCTCTAGCAGTCCTGGCAATGAACCGAAGCGCATTTGGGTTGTCGCTAAATAAAAGCATGCAGCATGGTTACAACAACACCATGCTTGCTATACGGTGCACGTGTTGACATAATGCAGCAAGGCTTCTCGGTGCCCACGACCCACAATGCTTAATTCCATGACAGCGAGCAGTTTATGTTTCTGTAAAACAGTGCACGGTTGAACACGGTCCCGCACAACGAAGCGGCAGCAATCGGTAACCCAGTGCATTCAGGTAGTCGCCTACTAAATGTGTGCAGTAGGCCTCAAGTTATGCTATCCCACACGCGTGCCTGAGCAAATAATCGGGTATGCTTACTGTGCTAAGGCTTTCGTCGGCGATAAGTCATACCGCCGCGTTTGTCGCTGGTTGCCACCTCACCTTCCTTTTTTTCCCATATGATTATTCACAATGTCATTGCCGCGATCGCACGGTAGTTGCAATAACTTATCGGTTGATCTCCACACTTATCAACATGAGAAAAAACCGTTCCCGGCACATTGTGGCGTCTGCAAGTTCAGCGGCACAGTAAGATTTTGTGGCGCAAAATGTTAATACGGTATGCAGTTAGTATGCACTAACCGGTATACATAAACCGCACATCACGGCTTAAGCGGTCTGCGAATGCATTAGTCTCTATGAGACTTGGTCAGGATTCGTCACTACTTCGTTTTAACTGTTAGTGTGCTTAAAAGCGGGTACAGGACAAGCAAGGTTTGGACTGTATACGGTAGAATTCTTAGTAAACGAAAATCTGTTAAACGGAACTACTGCTTAAACGGAACTACTGCAATGCGTGGTATTGGGCTTGTATTCCGCACCCATGTTCACCTCTCATTAAACAGAACTCCTGTTAAATGGAACATACTTTACCCAGTCCCTTCAGGTTCTGTTCACTGAGAGTCTACTGTAATTATGATGGTTATAAAATCAAACTGAAAGCTGAAGGTTGGTGGCTAGTATTACCACATCTTGTGTAACACTGCAGCGTTCATCATTGGCGCAACCGTGATGAATGGTGCAGGGTAATGTACACTGGAAGCGAGTGTTGCCTAACGAGATCGTCGCAAGTGATTGTCGCTACTTCAAGGAGAAAAAAAGGCATATGCAGGCCGGGCCCTGTGCAAGGCGACACATTGCTCAGTAGTTCCCGATTCAAGACAGCTGCGTCTAGCATGGTGTCGAGGAAGCGCAAGCCCTTGCACTACTGGAGCACTACTTGGGACAGTGTGGCGAGTGAAACGGTTAGCAATTGTTCCATGATGTGCGTTTTCAGTGGCAGCTTGCAGCGGAGCATACAGAGCGCAGCGCAGACGACCCTGTGACGTGTGTGTCTGACATAAATCACAACATCAATTGGGAGTTCTCCTTTACTGGTGCCAATGCACCCTTCGCTGAATTCATCCCGATAGACGACACGTCTCGACTTGCGAGCCGCAAACTGTTGCAGAGATTGTCGCAGAGGCGGTAAGGGCGATGCAGAGAAGGAGGTTGGGAACGAGCACCAGAAGATAGTGGCGAGAACGAAAGAGTGCGCTGACCGGCTAACTTTGCGCAAACCCTTGCTGAACTGGAAGAGTTACAAAGCTTCTCTTGCACACAAAAAAATTAAAATGCGAACAAGGGTCTACAATGTGTGCTGAAGCAGCTTTTCTTGTCAATGGGTGGGAGGCAGGCAACAGAAAATTACAATGTTTCTTTCTTTTTAGAGTTCTTTGCCCTTCCATCTCTATATGGACTTCTAAGCCTCAATTTTTGCTGGATTCGAATAGTACGTTTTCCCAGATCGTACGTTTATCTCCCGCATTTTAAGGGCGAAGCTCCTTAGGGCGTGGGCTGTGCGTCCCCTGTAGCCTGTATGTAGCCACCTCTAGTTTAGTTCTTGCAGTGTTCACTAGATGGCGGGTACCGGTCTCCTTTATGTAGCCACCTCTCGTTTAGTTCTTGTAGTGTTTACTAGATGGTGGTACTTGTAGCTGATGATGAAAAGATGCAAGATGTTATAAACTAGAAAGCGGTACTTGTGGTTGATGAAAGACGCGAGATCTTATAAATAGGAATGATGTCACATATGGCGCGTGTCATTAGTTGAAGGCAATCGTTCGATTTAGTGCGGCGACGTACGCTAGGGGAGCGTTGTAATAAAATCCGTTCGCTGTTGGCGCGCGCTCGGAGTCGCCGGATGGATAAGGCTGCACAGCGGAGAGAGCGCAAGGCGGCAGCAGCGCGCGCTCGCAGACAGAATCCCGATGTGCGAGCGCGCGAGGCAAGGGACATCGCAAGCCATCCATCGTCTAAGAACAAATAAAAGTTGATTTGTGTATATACACACACAGTGTTTCTCCCGTCTTTACATGATGATCGACTGGGCGAATTACACGGAAGATTCACAGTTTACCGATGAATCCCTTCGGAGCTTCGCCCATTCATCATCATTCACCCCTGTGAATATGCCGTAATTTTTTTTTTATAAACGTATCAATGAGGTTTTACTACACAGATATAAACACACAGACAACTATATATTACAGACGGTAGCTGAACTGCTCCCCTCTCCTCCCAAAAAGCTGGCTATGACCTAGAGTTCATAGCTTAGTTGATAGGCTGTAGGATGTAGCCCTACATAATCAGTTAATTTATGCAGCACTACTGTGATAGTTTTTTACCAGCATTGCAGCACCTTAAATGCCTGAAATCATACAGGCAGACATGCACACATAATGCTGATACAATTTATACTTAGTGTAAGCAATCATGCACTTATCTAGTCCACTGACAGTCTGTGTGAAGTGTCTCAATTTTGATTCTCCGTATAAGCAAAAATACATTTAATAATGTATAACCCTGCCTGTGTCTCTCTAAGAATATTTTAAATTATTCTTGACACAAGGCATGAGAACTCCAGTTATGCAAAGTTCTCCATCCTACACACAGCCCCACAAGCATATTTAGTGGCAGGAAATTACTAAATACAGCCCCATAAAAATTTCTAGCAGCAGAAAATTAAACAGCCGACCATATTCAATGAGCCACACAAATCACAGTAAGCAGGCAATATGTCATGTCAAGTTGCGAGATCATCAAACATTCTTCTCACCCGACTCATGGGAGGCATCTTCTTTCGCCGCCTACGCCGGTGCCTTGCATAAATTCGAGACACGCTACTCTCCTCAGTGGTGGTCGAAATCCTGGCAAAGCATAATTCAAGGAAGGTTAAACGCTGAGGTGGAAGAAACATTTTCAGAAGACAAAGCTAAATATGGCTCTAATCAATCTGGCCATATTCAGATATAATTATTATAAAAAGGCATCTATATGTTGCAGCTTCCTATTTAAAAGTGCTGCCTAAAACTTCATCTCTTACTACCCATTGATTTTTAGCGTATTAATCAGAGCAAAGTTTGCAACCTTCGTGACTACAACGCAAGCATGCCAATGCAGCTGTACAAAGCCACCATAAAGTAAATGGCAGCTTGAATACTTTTGTGCTATGATTTACAAGGTTTTTCATAACAGTGTTGGTGCACAATGTCATTACAGCTACAGTTCGAAAAAAAAAACACCACTATTTGCCATTAGACACATACCCCAACAATGCACATATGGATCAACAATCAGTGAACTGTGCTTTATGTTTTTTTCATGGATCTTACGTAAATTGCCAAGAAAATGCATTTAAGCTACTGTACTAAATGCTCCTATGCAGAAAACATTTTCTATATGCCAAAGTATTCAAAGGGACAATAAAGAGGAACAATGACCTGGCTTAGATGGATAAACTGCACTCTTAAAAATTCTGATGCCGTAAGTTTCACCGTCATAAGTTCATTAATAGCAGCGAAAATCAAGGTTGCAGTTCCACTTTTAAATTTCGCGATAAAATCTCCACGTGTGATGTAATAAATTCAAAATGTATTTTTTGTATTTTAGCGATATTTGCTCCATGAAATTTTCTGAAACTTTGTATGCTAGGTGTCTAGCCCCCACAGATGACAATGTACTTCATTTCTATCAATTAGAAGCATTTTAGAAAGCGGGTAAACCCCTTCAAAATTTATGACCGTCCTGATGTTGGTGAGGGATAAGGTGGTGTCTCTACTGCATTTTGTTTTCGTGCATTTTTTTTTGCTTACCAAGCATTGTGCCACGGTTAGAGTGGTGTTTCGGGATTGTGAAATTGTAATTTACTAACATGCAAAGAAAATCATTTTGCTCTTCAGTGTCCCTTTAATTCACGTTATTTTGGGTAAATTATTTGAGATAGGAACAAATTAGTACACACAACTTACCGGCTGGTAGTCTCATCCTCAGAGTCTAAGAAGCTTGTGGTTTCTATGTCACTGGTGGTTAGAACCGAGGCTGCCCCTGGCTTAGCTGCTGCATGTCCATTGGAACGGCCGGCTACGAAGAACACAACCAACGCTTTACTTATTTGTTTATCAGCAAGATATAAAGGACCAAACTGGCCAGCCAAGAAAAGTTAAGGACATGCTTAAATGCTATATGAGGACATCTGAAAAGTACGGAGTCAAGCTAGAAGACACCCTGGTATTGTAGTAACCATTATATGCAAGCTTTAATGACAGAAACGTTCTTGCACAACAGCAAACAATGAAATTGTGGAAAGCAAAGTGATAAAGAAGCTTTATGATCCCCAGATCAGTTTGTTGCAATGACTAGGAATGGGTACACAGCTGTTAATTGTACAAAAAGTCAATTAGGCCCCATATTAAAATAAATTTCAACATTGCAGCCTGTTCCTGAAGAATATGGCCTTAGATTATTACAAATATTACAACACTTGCAACATTATGCAGAAGTTTCAAAGTGCCAAGGCACAAGAAAAAGTGATGGTATATTTGGTTGGCTGCTCCCTTCCTTTGGCTTGGAGTCGCCAGATGCCGAGGCAGGCCGCAATCAGAGTGTGAGAGGCCGTGTAAAAATCGTATACACCTGCGATTTCAGAGCAGTGTGCCAGTAGTGCCACTGTACAGAAAGCGTGAGAAGTCGCCGGGTAAACATTCCTGCACAGCATGGGCAGCAGTATATAGAGGTCCATTGTAATTCATTGATATGTGGAGTTTTATGTCCCAAAACCACCATATGATTATGAGAGACGCCGTAGCGGAGGGCTCCGGAAATTTTGACCACTTGAAGTTCTTTAACGTGCACTCAAATCTGAGCACACGGGCCTACAACATTTCTGCCTGCACTGGAAATGCAGTCGCCACAGCCGGATTTGATCCAGCGACCTGTGGGTCAGCAGCCGAGTACCTTAGTCATTAGACCACCGCGGCAGGGCTATGGCATAAGAAAGTGAAACTTGATATTTGGCAAAATGACGAATCGTATAACTACAATTCGTAATATTTAGGTATCTTCACGTGCTTAGAAACCCGAAAAATTCAGTGATTACCTTGGTTGTACAACCTTTTGTCCACAAACTATAGAGTAGGTGAATGGCACACCAAGGTTTACAAGTGCTTAAAGGCAGCATCTGGTAATGAGTTGATTTTACATCAGACAAAAGACATGACATGTTTCAGAACAACTAAAGGTGTTATATATGCACTATATTATAAAGTCCAGTGATAAATTCTTGAAATTTCAGGTTGCCGTCTGCAAAAGTATACCAAATAAATACAATGACACATTATGGTGGGTTCATTTAGAAGCTTTGTTCTTTCGGCTACCTACCTTTATCTCGATGACGGCCAGGCCCTCTTTGATGGTGGTGGTGGTGCTCTGTAGGAGTAAATACATGTTATAATTAAAATAAAATGAAGTTTTGGGTGACGACCCCAATCTCATTGTATTGCAAAGTAGCTATGATTACATAAATATGTTCCTTCAGAGCATACCCAAATCCAACTACACAACCGTTTCCACATGCCACTGTCATTAAAATGCAACTACTGCTGTGAGGAACAAATGTAAGACTTCAAGTTTGGCAATGCAACCCTGCAGCCACTTGGCTACTGTAGTGAGTTGAGAGGATTAAATTTTGTACTCAATTTCTCAAGGTTATCAACTAATAATAAATCATACATGAATACTTGCACTGAATTCGAGCATGAAAACTGAATTCCAGAATGCAATATTTATCTTTCACTAAGCAACTGAGGTTTTCAAAAAAAAGATGCACATTTTTTTTTCTGCCTAAATAAAAAGGATATCAAAACAATTACACTTACGGTGGAAGCCATATGCCCCACAATACTAATACAGCTTTTCCTAAAAAATACTAGCAACTTCAACATAAACAAAACTGTAAGGTAACTAATATATCAAGAAACAGAAATGCTTTTATTTTTTAAAACTTGGGAATAAATCAAAGTAAGCCTATATAATGAAATTTAGGATCACCATAGCCTTTTAGGGCGTAACTGAATATCTAGTTACAGCAATGTATTTAAACAAATGCTTTACTTCACTGTACTATGCTCACCTCGCCAAGAGAAGATACGCTGCGCAGGAATCCCACAAAAAAACAGTAAGACAGCAGAAACAAATGACATGTGAAGATGCGATACTTACAAGAGCCAGACTAGATGGAGTAGTTCGTGAAGTGACACGAAAGTAAATAGAACAGCCATAACATAACAGAGAGAAGGAGTAAATAGACGTTTTTGTTTCTGCCTTACATGTTGGAGCTGACAGGAAATTGAAACATGAATTCCCTTATCCAGTTAAATAAGTGTTTTACCTTTGTGGGAGCTAATGGCAGACTCCGACTCAGTAAAGCTGGTCTCTGCTGCATCGCTGCAAGGAATAAGATCAGAAATGTAGGACACTATACAACACTACAAATGTAAGATTGCACTGAAAAAAAAAAAACAACATAGTTACTGCTTTTAACAACTCCTAGTTTGAATGACTGTTCTTGCACTAAACAGTGAGAGACGTATCAAATTATTGCTTCTTGTTGATGTTTCAATTAACAGAGACATAGCATATACGAAATTAAAAACTAATGCATAACTTTCACTGATCTCCATAAATAATGGTGTACCATGGGCTCGAGTTATCGCTAACTGCAGGCCTTTTGGTTGTAATTCACAATGTAAAGTAGACATGTGCACTTTGGTAACACTCGCCCTGTTTATCATACCAGTGCATTTTATAGTGGGGAAGCTGCGGTCTAGAGTGATGGAAAAAGAACAAAGAAGACAATCATTCACAGACTGTTTTACTTTACTAGGAGAATTAAACACTATTACATTTGGTTTAATGAGAGTCAGATCCACTCAAAGTAGGGTGCCTGGCCTTTTAAATGCAGTAAAAATTTAATCTGCTAGTAAGTACTGCACCTGAGAACTTCCGACACTGACCCTGACATTCCCAATATTTTCTGGTGTACAATGACACCACACATAAAAAAAGCTTTCGCATGCAGCAGCTACAGCTGCACCCGTTTCGGAACTTGCTTTGTACTTACACTGCAGCCCTGCCCAGGAAACGTCACAATAACAAAGAGAATCTGCAAGAACCTAATGGTACAAGTATGATAACTAATGTAGTGTTCCTACTTAAAATAACGGAACAGCATTAAAGCTTCAGTATGGAACTGGCGTCCATCTTAATCTGCTTTATTTTTCACTTCATCCTCCTCTTCTTTCCTGCCCCGGCCCTCGCGCTTCTTCATCTTCTGTCCAAAGGCTCATACCGCTTCACCCTTCCCGCTTTCTTTTAATTACCCCTCCTGGGTAATACTTGAAGACATTCCCAATTGAAGCACATTCAACAGATCCACGTTCACCAGTGTACCAGACAGTCTTCAAAATTCCGTTCTGGGTGGCTGTCTTGGTCACAAAGTAAGGCCCATAAAATTTGGCACTGGAATCTCTTATTCCTTTTCTCACTAGTACGAGGTCGGTGACTTGAATGTCTGGCATGTCTGCTCGATGCCTCTTGTCGAAATTCTTTTTCATTCGTTTTCGGTACCTCTCCTCCTGTGATTTTTGTTGCCTCTCCTCGACAATCTTGAGGTTTTCCAAGAGTCCCAACTCACGGTCTGCCTGCAGAATAGGGGTCTCTCCTGTAGAAGCGTACTGTGGACTGCACCCCAAGCCACTGGTGTAGGATCGGTTATGATGTTTTACGGCTGCTTCTAAAGAACATTTCCATCCCCCAGGAAAACTATCGTACATCTTGATGTATTGTTTCACGTCCCGTATGGCACGTTCTGCAAGCCCATTCGCCGCAGGATGGTATGGCGCACAGAACTTGATCGATACATTGTGATCTCGAGCCCATCTTACTAGCTTTTCACTCTTGAACGCGGGGCCGTTATCGCATACGATTGTCCGCGTAGTTCTAAACATGTCCCTTTCGAGAAGGGTTATGACGCTATTTGCATCTTCTTTTCCTGCTCGTGCCGCGACCATCCTGGTGCATTCATCTATGGCCAGCAGAAAAGCTTGCGTTTTTCTGACTCCTTCCCGTTTCTTGTTAAGTTCGGCGAAATCCAGGTGAACTACTTCAAAAGGCACGTTCGAGTGGCAAGGTAGTATCATGGTGTCCGTAGGCTGTTTATACTTGACTTTGTGTACTTGACACACATGGCATGAACGAACGTACTGACTAACGTCTTTCTTCATGTGAGGCCACGTAAACCTCTTGACCAACTTGTTGTAGGTACGCCAAAAGCCGTCGTGTCCTCCAGATTCTGGGCTATCGTGGTACAAGTAAAGCACTTTGGAAACAAGAGTTGGTGGGACTTGATACCGACCTTCCGTAAAAACCAGTTGTTCTGAGCCTTCCCACAGCTTCACTTCATTGATTTCTTCAGATTTTTCTGTGTTGTTTTGTACCATCAATCTTGATAGAGCATCTGCATCGGTTAAAAGCGGTCCTGGTCGGTGCGAGATGGTAAAGTCAAATTGCTGCAAGTAATTCACCCATCTGGCGATACGCCCTTTAGTTTGGGTCATATTCAAGAGATGAGTGAGTGCCTGGTGATCGGTGAACAAAGTGAACTTCGTACCTTCCAGGTACGTGCGGAAGTAGTCAACGGCCTTCAGAACCGCCAGTGCTTCTTTTTCCGTAGTAGTGTAGTTTGTTTCAGACGGCTTGAAAGTGTAACTGTAGTAACCGACTACGTGTCGCTTTTCTCGGCCAGATGCTTCAATACATTTTTGATACAACACTGCACCAGTCCCATAATGTGAGGCGTCAGTGTTCAATTCAAAGGGTAAAGTGAAATCTGGTATACGCAGAACGGGGTCAGAAGAAATTCTGTGCACCAAGTCACGGTAGACTCTCTCACATTCGTCACTCCATTCAAAGGGAACTTCTTTCTGCGTTAAGCGCGTGAGGCATCTAGTTTTGACAGCAAAGTCCTTTATGAAAGATCGGAAATGTCCTGCCAATCCCAAAAACACACGCAGTGAATGGACGTCATATGGTTTCTTCAACTGGGAGATCTTCTCGACGGACTCTTGTTTTGTGCTTTTGGTGTTCCCATCGAAGACTCTTCCAAGAAACACCACTTTTTGTTGAAAGAATACACTCTTCTTAAAATTAACCTTGAGATGTGCCAAGCTCAAGGCGTTTAACACCTGAGACAGATGGTCCTGATGCTCAGCCTCTGTTTTGGAGAAGACTATAATGTCGTCTATGTACACATTACAAAAAACACCAAGGAATGGCTTTAGGACGTCGTTCATGATCTTCTGGAACCACGCTGGCGAGTTTTTCCAACCGAAAGGGAGCCGGTTGTATTCGTAGAGATCGAATGGCGTGATAAAAGCGGTGTACATTTTTGTTTCTTCGGTTAGTGGGATCTGCCAGAAACCTTTGCATAAATCGATGCGGGAAAAATGTCGGCAACCCCCGGTCTCATCTATAATTGTGTCGATCTTCGGCATAGGAAATGGTATGAGTTCTGTCTGACGATTGAGAACCCTGTAGTCGGTGCATAATCTGAAGGTTCCGTCTTCTTTCGGTGCGATCGTTATGGGAGAAGCGAAGGGTGATACCGAAGGTCGTATGATATCAGCATCTAGCATCTCCTGCAACTCTTTCTTGAGCCACATCTTTCGCTCCCTTGACATATTGTAAGGTGCTTTCCGGATGACGGTCTTGTCAGCGAGTTCGAAAGGAACCTTGTGGGACTTCATCGCCTGAGGATAGCTTCCTATGCATACAAGTTCAGGGTAGGTCGTTGCGATATCCGCCGCGCACTTGACAACTCGTAGATTATCTTGTCTACCTTGATTTGTCTCGTTCCTTGCTACTCCTTCTACTAGAACCACATCGTCCCAGTACACGTTGATCTTTAGTTTCTTTATATCTGGTCTTGATAGCAAAAAGTCGTACGTTACCCCCTCTATCACCAACACTTCGCTCTCTATTTGCTGACCCTGGAACTCGATGTTTACCAAGGCCCACTGATCATGCAACGTTACTTTTCCATCATAGCCTTGTACTCGTAGAATTCTTCCACTATGCAAGCGATTTGCATCCACCAGCTTGGCATTTATAATGGACACAGAAGCACCGCTGTCTACCAGAGCCATCATATGTTTGTTTCCTACTTTGACGGGAATGTGAAGTAGGCTAGAGCAACTTAAATAAACAGTCTCATTTGGAGTCATCGGGTGGGACTGATCACCCTCGTTTATTAGTTTTTTTCTGTCGAATACTCCTGAGCTTCAGTGTCGATATTATTCACTCGACCTCTTGGAACACGCCAGGGCAAGTTATCTGTGCGAGTTGCGAGGTGGCTCGGTTCTCGCTGAGCGCGGCTTGACCAGTCCGATTTACTCCGACTGAAACAGCTGCTTGACTCGGCGGTTATGGTTGTTTCCGAAGCTGATGGTATGTTCTGAAGACACGCGAGGAGGTCATCTAGAGTCTTTGGTGACAGTATTTGCACTTGCTTCAACACGTTAGTGTGCAATCCATGCATTATTAAGGCAACTACGGCCGTAGATGGAAGCAAAGGCTCCGCCAGCTTTAAAAGACGGCGTTTCTCAAAGAAGTACTCGACAAGGCAGCTTTGCTCAGACTTGAAATTAAGCGCCGTGTTCCATCTTTCTACTGGATTGCTTCGGAATGCAGTCAAAAACTTTTTCCTCCACTGGCTCCAAGAGTCGTCACTGTCTTCCAGAATGCATGTTTCATACCACTTTCGCGCAACACCTCTCAAGTAAACGCGCATGTTGGTGATTTTAGCCTCATCAGAGAGCCACTTGTTTTTTCCAGCGGCATATTCGTAGAAATCAAGCCAACTTTCTGGATTTGAAGACACACCGTCGAAAGCATCAGGTTCTACGAAATTAGGTGTCGGTCTCTCAGCATTCAGAGAGCTTATAAGAGATGTCATTATTTGGTTTTGTTGAAGCATCTGTTCCTGTTGCAGCTGAAAAGCTTTCAAAACGAGGCTCACCTCTTCCGTCGAAGATCGTGATCCTGAGTGTTTTCGACGCGCTGGTTCAAGAACTAGGTCGTTGAAGGTCGCCACACGCAAGTTCACTTTCACAGCACCTTTCCGTCGTAGTTCAGTAGTGTCTACGGCTGCCTTTTCCACAACCAGGTTTACGAGTTCTTCCGAGCTGAGCTCACGAGGTAAGTCTACCGCTGCTTCGTCTTGAACTTGGTACTTCGAAAAGATGATCTCCTCGGAGGTCTCGTCTATGAAGAACGTCACCCACATGATGGCTTCGATGGCCGGCTGCGCCAAAATAATGTAGTGTTCCTACTTAAAATAACGGAACAGCATTAAAGCTTCAGTATGGAACTGGCGTCCATCTTAATCTGCTTTATTTTTCACTTCATCCTCCTCTTCTTTCCTGCCCCGGCCCTCGCGCTTCTTCATCTTCTGTCCAAAGGCTCATACCGCTTCAACTAATAATAAGCTCACTGTTGTATGTAGCAGTGAGTTGACGTTCAGGCTTATTGCATGTATTATCTGGAGCTCCTGTAACAGCATTCATTCATTGAGCAATAACAAATGCCAGTGAAATGAGAAGTTACTCACGGAAATGGGCGTGGCCGGTGTGTTTCAGTTCCTTCAGACACAACGCTGCTCCCATCTGCTGACACAAGCTGAAAGATTATAGGGCACACAGTGTTAGCCATGATATTATTGCCTAAATCAGTGCTACAGTTTATAATACACCAAGTTGTCCCCATGTCATTGCCTGTAGCGCAGAGAGCACACAACCCCAGGAAAACTCGCGCCATACGTACTTAAGCTGCTTTGTTGAACGAATAAAAAATTTCAAGTCACTTCACTACGCCACGTCTCACCTTTTAATGATATTTTAACCAAAGCCCTTTTGACACATTAATGTCGAAAATTAAGAAAGTGTAATGGCCACCCCCATTTTAATACTGGTGCCTAAGGGACAAGCAGTGATATTGCATTAATTACATGGACGTGTATGCAGATAATCATTCTTCTTTAACTTAATGTCCAGTAGTGACGCTGCTTCATCTTCTTCACTATAGTGTCAAACCATTGCGTGCCTATTGCCTGAAAGTCTAAAAGTGAGTCTCCATTCTTACCCGTTCAGAGAAATTACAGAACTGGTTAAGAAGGGGCCATTTATGGTAATGAGCCAACTAGCCATTTAGGGTCATGAGAAAAAACTCCCGCTAAAAAGCATGTTGATATGCCCTGTGAACTCGGTCAGGAAGTTTCGGTTCAGTATCCCAAGACCTAAACGCTGTGAGAACAATTGACCCTTTACATATTTAGACATTGAAACGGTAACATATCTGTGATCAACCTTGCACACACACACACAAAAACAAGAAAAGCGTCACGAAAGGGGCAGTAATTAACTGTTGCGCTCACTCTACTGCATATATAAGTACAGTCCAGAACTTAAACATCAAAAAACAGCAGCACAATTGCATTTACTGGCACAGTTGATTACAGAGCATGTGTGTTTTTATAGCATGCACATTAAAAGCATTATTACAAGGCACTGGAATGATTATAGATGAATACCAATGAAAGTAATTGTAGGAGGACGCACATAGCTTCAATGACAACAGAAACTTGTGACTATTACAGTTTACTAGCTACAATGGAGCTTGTAGATTTAAACACTGAGGAGCTTCAGCTGTTACAGACAGTGCATTTTTTGCAGGAGTACAAAGTACAAACACCAGAAGCATCCAGCATATTTGAAGCTAAGTTAACAAACTATGGCTAAGTAACATGAAGGCTTTAAATGAATTCATTTTGTTCATTTTGATTATCTAGTATTCAAAAGCAGATGAACGATTTGGGACAAGAAGAGGAGTTTCGCTCACCCATGAGACCACACGACCATTGAAACAAGGCAATCGGCAGTCATCTTCAACAATTTCTTCCTTTACAACCCTGTGCAAACAAGAAAATAACACAGATCTGAAGGATTCGCACAGCTAAGCAAAGTGTAATTTCAACCATGTGCAAAACAGACTACATTTTTAACCCGTGTATCAAATACGATTGAGTCGCAAGTGCAAATATTTCAGTGACAAAGCAAATATCGATATATTGAAATCGTTCCTAAACTTCTAACATTTCTGCCTAACTGAAATAAAGTGAAAGGCCCAACAAAAAAGGGATACACTCGGAAAGTCAGGCCATTGATTACTTCATGCTATGTGTTAAAAAAAAAAGGCTGTTGCATTTTTTTTTAAGTGCCCACTCAGAAATTTTAACAGGAGATAGAATGGAACCAGGTCTCCCCACAACAGTACTGTTGTTTGCACAGCTCAACATTTCAGTGCTCACTGTTCTTTCAAAACTGCAGTTCCAAAAAAGAAAAAATATAGGGAGGCACCGAGAATGCAGTTTAGCTTGGGCTATTACAGTTTACAGTTACAATATACATAAGTCTTTTACATCAGTTATAGCAGGGCATATGAAGAAGAAGATACCACTACAGTAGTTTTAAAAGCATCATTTAAATTTACTGCTCAGATCATCACTGGCCAGTCCTATATTGTTACATGAAAAATAATGGCACCATTACGAATGAGAGACGCTTTTTCCACTTCACAGGATACAGGAACAGCAGCACCACATGAAATACAGCTAAGACTTTACCTAATAAAACCCGATATTACAAACTTCCTGTAATAACATGTGACTTTCCATTCCCCAGCAGATATACATTAACTTCAATGTTGTTATCAACTTGAATTAATAAAACAATGATAACACTGAACCTAATCTAACAAAGTTTTTACAGAAATATATTAGTAAAAAAGCAGCAATATGTTTTTTCTAATTTTCGTAGAGACAGCGTTTCTTCAGGAGTGCACAATAACGTGCTGAAACATCTAGCCGCCCTAGCCTAAAGTTTTATTTTGACGAGGCTGCGCACCATGCCCATGCAAGGAACAGCTGACTTAACAGTGAGCAGTTTTTTTACGTACCAATTTACAAAAGGGTTGGTGGTGGATTATTGCCCTGCAAATGCACCCACAAGAATATGGTGGTTGTTTTTCTTTTTGATGCGATGATTTGTGTGACAGATGGTACTGATCACCTCCTTACAACTTTCTTACCCTGCCTGATCGCACAGTCACTGCATCGACCTACCCATCCTTTCATATCGGCGGCTTGTCATAGCTTTACGTGATGGTACCCTCTGCCGCACATGGGTGGCTCCATGTCCCGTGTGCCTTCGCAGACTTTTCAGACAGGCAGGCATGTGATAGCGGCAAATAAAATGTCCTACATTACAATTTTACATTCTGAAGGACCGAAAGATCGCCTTCTCAATTTTACAAACTTTCCAATTTAAAGGGGTCCTGCAACACATTTCCAAGTGACCGTGAAATGGCTTCATTAAAGGAGTTTACTACCTCAAGAATCGACCATTGCAAAAATGTTTAGGAACTGTCAAGTATCAGCACAGTTCGGATTTTTCACATGCTGTAATTGCTTTCTCTTTTCTTGTCCTACCGAAGTAAAGAAACTGTATGGCACGGTAAGAGTATATCAAAAAGCAGCTTTTCACAAGATTTGCCCGAACACATTAAGCCTCCTTTTCTCTTTCGATATGCACATAGTTGATGCAGTGTTTTGTGAACCTATACCAGTGGCACACGGGCAGTTTTGATCGCGATCCGGGCTGATTGATATAGGTCTTGGTCACGATCAAAAATGATCACTGCTAAGCGGAGCGGTAAAAACTAATCGGCATTGAGTTTGCCGCAAACGCTCAACAAATCGCGATCTGGAAGCCAGATCGAAATTGTCATGATCCCGAACGCGCAACGGTAAGTGAGCGGGCTTTCGATCCGGACCGGCCGTGAGGTTCAAGAATCATGTACTGCAGCAAACTACATGCTGATCGCAAATGAAAGTGCTCGTGTGACACCGGTATCGATACAAACTAGCTTGGACCATGTAGCAGCGACCACTGACGATCGAGATCGAGAAATTCGATCAGGACGAGCCCTGATCACGATCAGAAGTGTCCGTGCGTCACTGGTATCGGTTCGGCGCTGACGATAGCCAGACACTGCACGCAGATTGCGATTAATGTGACCTTGTAGTACTAACCTCATTCAGATCGAGCCTAATTCTGATCGACTCTGATCACGATCGGTGTCTGCGTGACGACGGTACAAAGCAGAAATAATACCTAACTTTGCGGATGTATCATCTGTCAAAAGCTGTAAAAGCAACATCGGTACAGACTGGATTGGGCAACCGCAGGAAATAGTCCCCGAACGAGCTAATATCAAATCGCGCGACTTTCGGCTCGTCCTTTTCCATGTAATTTGCGGCAATAGATGCCGCAAGAGAACATTTTTGTCAGGAAGGCTGTCTGAGTAAAGTCTGTAACTTGCTCGGCTTTCTAAACTTCGATGCTGTCCAAGGCGCGCATAGCTGCGACTCGCGCGGAAAGCACCGATGTCCGTGAACGGCGTCAGTGCAGACAACAAAGGCGGGCCCGTCACTACTCGCGGATCTGTGAGCGGCAGGTGCTCACGTGCACTGCACAAACAGTGCACGCGTGCTTTTCCTCTTCTTTAAAATTGGGGAGTCTTTTTTTGACGGAGTGCGCTAGCTTACCCGAAATCATCGTCCATCGACTTGAAGAAGAACTTGAAGTTGGGCCTGTTGAGGACATTCTTGAAGTCGGCGAGCGTCACGCGCTCGGGCGGCACGGGCACCTTGACGAGGTACGGGGTCTCCTCGTCGTCGATGTGGTAGATGATCTTGGTTTCTTCCATTGCGCGATGCGCTAAAGCGGCATCTCGCATGAGCCGCACGCCAATATGGCGATAAGCCTCAGTGCCCGGACCTCACAACTCGGCCGTGTGGAGAACCTCCATCCCACTGACCACACCTTCGGGGCGGCCGCACGTCACAGAAAGCACGGCGGTCGCCCTCTCGTCCAACATCAGCTGTGAAACGGAGCACGCATGCGGGATCGCGACCGTTCGTCCAAACCGAGAGTAGCCGGAGAGCAAACAAGCTCGAACGCAAAGCACCGCCACGGACCTCGGCCGATCTCCTGCCGAGATCTCCCAGCGTCCGGGTCACCGATGAGTGGAGGAGGGAACGCAAGCTGGAACTCGGAAGGCGCAGCCTCCCGGGATTTGCTCAGATTCCTAAACGATTGCGCTATGATTCAGAATGCAGCTTCAGTGAAGATCCAACATAAATAATCAACACGGCGATCCCCCCGTGCATCGGAGACAGCGGAAGTATCGCCACTTGCCGCAGCCTCCACCAGGGACGTCGCGTACGAAAATTGAGCCGCCGTTATCGAGAGCGATATGTCCCCGATTCAAAAGATGAGAACTGTCAGTACTGTCAGTAAATGCACTCATTAATAAGCCATAGAACCTACAACCATATTAGAGTGAACCATATTAATTAACAGCACACATGTTTTGCGTGTAACTGTGTATAAAGTTATAAGTCAAATACACATTAAAATGATTACTTTATACTTGTATGCACATTGCAAACAACAATATTACTGCGTGTAATAATTGAGTAAATATTCAGTGATGCGTAAACGTCATAAACACTTGTTACTTTTCTATAAATAAAATAAGGCTGGTAGCGCCCTCTGCAATTTTTTTGCTTTAAGGCGTGAAAAGCAAATGTAGTCTTATTCCTTTCCTAGTCTGGGTACGCGTTCTGCGTGAATGCAAGCGAGATGAAGGTGAGAATTTGGAATTATTTAATGGTCCATAAGATCATTTGAGATTAAAATAGTGTTCCACATAACATCTTGGAGGTGGCGTAGGTTAAATGACATTCATTTCTACCTGAATTTTAATGTTTAGAACTCTGATTTCTCGGATTGCCGGACTGGGTCTGTGCCGGACGGTGTGGTTGATGTTGGTTTAAGCAAGTTCACCGATGCTCGAATTGTCAAGCTACGGCAATCGAGTCGCTGCCGAAGGAAGCTGAGAAGTGCGACCGCTTGTAAAAATGAGTTGTCTTACTTTGGAGCGGTTAGGTGTCGCGATTGCCGACGTGTGCCTGTCGAGCGGTGCGTGTAGCGCACCACAGTTCGATGACTGTAGACTAATTCCTCCTTTATTTTTGTCCTCCCGCTGCTATTTAGCTGAACATCTCCTACCCAGCCACTGGCTGCCAGAAACTCATCGAAGTTGACGATGAGAAAAAAGTACGCATTTTCTACGAGAAGCGAATGGGCCAGGAGGTCGAGGCCGACGGTCTCGGCGATGAGTGGAAGGTGAGTTCGATTTCACATTGAAATTTCTTGGTTTAGCCGTTACTGTTTAGTCGAACAAGTTGTGTTCATTGTGATAAAAACATGAACTTAGTGGCAGTGAGAAGCTGAAGCAGAATAACGACGTTTTCATGCCATGTGCGCCGTCCAGCTGACATGTGTACGATCGTCGAATTTGTGGGACGTGAAATGCACGCTGTCTAATATGGCGCTGACATGTTCTGTGCCCGCTTACCTAGACCACGTTAGAGCGCTTTATATTTACGGCGAACTTATTGTCCAGGAGTACTAGAATAGCTTCGGGACCTTGTTGACTGCTCACATAGTTGTCCGTGCGATTGAACACATTGTTATTGGACTGAATTGACTTTTAGCCTTAGTAGTTTGAGGATGTTCAACTGCGTGAAGAGTGAAGTTTGAACAAATCGTGCTGTTTCTGCAGTGCGCAATATGTTCATAACTGGAAGTTCCCCATTTTTAAAAAGTAAAGTTGAAAAGCAGTTGTCAATTCGACCTACATGACTGTCAACCCCATTGGAAACAGTGTAAAAGCTACATGCTGTACTGTGCATCCCATGGTCAAGCATTTTGCATTTTATCAAAGCCACAGCTTTCAGTACATACCAAATGCTTGTTTCGTGTAGTTTGGCATGGAAAGCCGTTCCGCCTGAACAGCTGTGTATGAGTGTCCATGCAGTGCCGTCTCGATTTTCTTGGCATGTCAATTATATGACTCGAAAGCTCTTGAACATGTAATACATTCAAATGCATCTGTAATTACTCTTTGCACCTTAAATATTGGTATGCAAGTCACTTTGAATAAAGATTGCATTGTTCAGTAAAAGCTTAATTCGTATAGGAGGGTTGCACGTGACGTCATCCGCTTGAGGCGATAGCGGCGTTTGCCTCTACCGCCATGTCAGTGGTCTAAGCGCGCCCTTTTTGAAGTGGCGAGCGGCAGTGAGAGGTTGTGTGCGTGCCGCTACGTACGGTACCAATGTGGTGAAATTCCACTGAGTGCTTACGCGCGTGACTTCCGAAGTCCGGCGAAACTTCGCTACGAACATAAGGCTCACATTTGTGGCGGATATCGACCCGTTCGACTTCAGCAGCGGTGAAGCTGTGTGGCATGTGAAGCGTTATTCCCGCATCAAGCTCACGGACATTAAGGACCACCTTGTTGGCGGCACAAGCTTTGCAACAAGGGACGAGCTTAAAGCCTGTAAATTGATGGACGCCCACAACTATGTCACTAGCAGATGAGTCCAACAGCACCGAGTTAGAGACCTCGGAGACGGCTGCCGTCGGAAACATGACTGGTTCCTCTTGCTCAGTGTTCAGATAATTTTTTTTTCACCGCGGTGGTGTCGTTTCTCGAATTCTTGGTGTGGAAGGGCTTCACCATTTGCAAGAGCATGTGAGGTGATACAATTGTCATAGTTCGTTCGTGGTTGAGCTTAAGCCGCTTGCGATCAAAAATGCTCTTTGCTGCAGGGTCCAACGACGCGCGTCGGGCAGTTGCGCACCCAGAGATCACATACGGTCTCGTTTGTAACTGATCGACGTTAATGTGATATCACCGTTTATGTGCTCGGCTCGTGAAAGCATGGGTAAACAAGAACGCACTGTGTCGCTGACTGTTTACTAACACACCGAAATCAGTAACACGCCGCACCTACCCGAATGATACCACTCATAAGTAGCGATCGCGGTCGTAGTGCGCGCGCGCTCGTCTCCTGCTGGGTAAACAAAGCTTCATAGCACGTCGCGAAAACCTAAGTTTCTCACCTCAAAAACAAACATCTATGATGTTGCATAGTTTCTGAACACTTACCGGAAACGAAAAGAAATGTTTGACGCACAGGCGGTATAGTGTGTGGCGTAGCCATCCCACCCGAACCTTTTTGATTGGTTTACATTTTAGGTATGAAAAAAAAAAGCCGACATCAGACGCATTCTCGTCACCAGCCTTCTTACTCGAGTGGTTGTAGCAACCAAATATGGCACAGTTCATCATTATGACCACAGGAATCTTGCACAGGCGCGCACCCGTGAGTGTACCATATAACACCCACGTACTAGTGTACGTTCTGCGACTGCTTGCCCGCGGCGGCAGAGAGAGAGACCACAAAGATGGATGCGCTGCCTCTTCGACACTGGCGCCATCTCGTGGGCCACGCCCCTGTGCAACCCTCCTATATAGTGGGACCACAAAGTAATGTACGAATTACAAATTATCAGAAATGTCGAGAAAACAGATAGCAAATGCACTTTCACTTTAAATCCTGCTTTTATTTGGCATAAGAGCAGTGTAAAATATGCAATTTCAGTAATCTTGTGAATTTGTGCTCAATGCGACCACAGTATCAAACTCCCATGTTTAATTAGTCCAAAATGCATTCTGCATTTCTCTCTTGTAAAATACTGCCAGCATCTTCATACGCATGTGAGGATAGTTTTTGTAGGTAAAATTGCCGACAAATAACTATGTAGCAAACGAATTTTATGCCAGAATATTGACCGTGGCTGAAAGCTTTTCATCAACAGCTTCCACCATGCTTGAGTATTTCGACAAAGTGTACATGTTGCATCAAGTACACTGCTGAGTGCTGGATCTGTGTGTGGATAGCAGTGTGTCACTTCGGTTGTCTGCGAACCCAGTTCTTGCTCGTTTGCATCACACATTCGCAGTACCTCATGCTTGGCGTGTACAGAGGATCAGCTGAACTAACCGGGTCGTGGTTAGATGTAACTGAACTTGCTTGATGCTCACTGGCACCAAGAAACGCTTTTGAATTATTCAGTTTCCCTGACTATCGAGCTTTTGCTGTATGCTGCCTCTTAGGAGCACTCTTATTGCTTAACAGTGTATGTCTAGCGATGACAACAATATGGAAAAAGAAAACATACAAGAAGCATACAACAAATGGCAGCAACTCGCAGAATGGATGGTATTGGGCTGCAGTTTCAAATTTGAATGGGAACTGTTGTCATGCAAAGTATTAACCACACACCAACTGGGCACGTTCAGTGGTCACTTAAATTAGCCTTTAATGAGGAAAGCATGAAAATAAAAAGATACGCATCTAGAAATATGCACGAGATGCTGGGAACACCTCAGAGATGGGAAATTTTCATATTACTGCGCACAAACTAGTAGAGAAAATGTGAAACAAGTGCATCGGTAGTCCTGTAGGGCAGAAATCCTTACCAATATGTCAGTGGTCTGAAAGAGTTAAGGTATACATTGAATTATGAAACAAGCAGTTGATTTTCATTTATGAAACTTTATCAGTCACACTGACATGGCTATTTGGTGTTTCTCTAACACCTCAGAGATTGGAAATTTGCATTTACTGCGCACAAACTAGTAGAGAAAGTGTGAAACAAGCGCATCAGTAGTGCTATAGGGCAGAAATCAAGAACTTACCAATATGTCAGTGGTCTGAAAGAGTTAAGATATACATTGAATTATGTTACAAGCAGTCAATTTTCATTTATGAAACTTCATCGGTTACACTGACATGGCTATTTGGTGCAGCTCTGGAGCTGCCCATAGAAATGCAAAGCTTCAAATAGTACTACCACCAGTATTGGCTGCAGCGAACTTCTAGTTTGCTGCTGTTCAATGGGAGTGTGATGTAAGTCGCCCTTGGAGACCTGTTTTTCAGCAGGCTTCGCTTGTCACCCATATTCGACAGGTGCGGTATATGTCACAGAGTATGGGACTCTGCACGTTGTCTTTCTCATGTCTGCTGCATCATCATGATGTCTAATTTCTGTTATGTATAAATTTATTATGGTAATCTACTGTAAAAGCATTCCATTAACAGTACACCTTAATGATTGTAACTAGGATAATAGACGGGAATAGTGTGGAAGGAAAGAAAGCATTATGGTATTAATTTACAAGTAAACTGTGATTGGTATCGGCTGAATGGCATATTTGAATTTGGTCACAGGTTTGTTGTGTCTGACATTGTGGAAAACTATTGTACAGCGTGTGGTACCAATGTAAAGTTCAAA